TTGTTAAGCTGTGGGTCTGTTACCTATTTTTGACATTGCAGAATATTCACAGGTTGTTGCGGTGTCAAACAAGCAAGTCACTGCCACAATTATGCCTTGCTTAACCGCCCGGCCTCCTCGCCATAATTATTCTAACCAAAAACTGGCGCGCAGAGCTGGGATCGAACCCGCACCTCTCTTCTATAATCCTAGTACTCTTAACTGTAACCACTGGGCCACCCTGTCATGTTGTGTACAAATATGTGGTTTCATACATGCGCACGTCCTATACAATTGTGTTTAAATTTATCATGATGTACGGAACAAAAATGAGAAATTTATACGCTCTTTCAGCTCTTTAGCCATTCTTATGACTGCTATAAATTTTGAGCAAGATGAAATGCGAAGTCTTCACGGGCTTCAAGTGTCTGGGGGTTGCTACTCTTAATATATCGCTCAACGCCTGCAGTACATTCTTCGACGTACGCAGCATGTCATGTAATGGCACCAAATTCTCCTTTTCGCCGGCCAAATGGCTAACATGGATGTAATTTTGGAAAGAATTTGAGTAGCTTTCGAAGGCGACTCACATATTGGCGATGGCGCAGGAGGCGCAGGCTTCTAAGTATGCACGAGCAGCGCGCCATGAGCAAGGCTATCAAATTTGTGGGTCTCTCAAGTGGAGGGAAGTTGCCAGCATACGAAGCTCGCAAATAGCCGCTAATCACCAGCTCATTTCCGGGCTCGGTGTCTGCCCCGTTGCTGCTGCTTAATGTTCTGCCCTCGACGGTCATTAAAGGATACTTCCACATGCTCCATTTTTGCCTGCTCACACTTAGCGGTCNGTTATAACCAGAGTGTGAAGACACGAGTTGGCACGATAGCCTCAGTGAGGGGTCGTAATGACGGGCACTTTGGTAGTATTGTGGCTACGGACAGCGCCCTCAAATGTGCCTCAAACTAATCTCGCAGGCCGTGTATTGTTGCGCCTACAGCCGCTCACACGTTGCCCTCGCTACTGCAGTCAATCCGGGCCTATAGCGCACCTACATTCTTTATGTGGGTCGTTAGGATGGCTGGCACATACGCTGTAATATGCGCCGCGGCTCCACTCGTGTGCCTCTGCACTCCTAACTGCCTTTCATGACGGTTCTGCCATACTCGTGGTTTATATTTTCTATGGTTAATTTGTCTGTGAATATTTGTTGTCTTCTGAGAGTTACGACTTGATTGTGTTTACTTGATTATCAGTAATAGCTGTCACGATTTTCACTGAATTAATAAATCTGCCAAGACAAAATTAATACATTTCAATTCCCAATTTTCTAAAACACCTCGATGGCAGCCATTACATAAAAAATTAAATAAATGCTTGCCATGCTGATGATTAACTCGCCATAATATCTAATAAAACAACGTGAGGTTTTGGAGGAATCGGGGAACATATTCAAGTCTAAGATCATTCGTCTGGGCTTACGCTCTACTAATTCCAGCGGTATTTATTTTATCTTATTTCATCGTGCTTCATTACTCATTCAGTACATAATTAAGCAATTTTTCGCTTTCAAACTTCATTCGGCTCATAAGAATATCTTGTGTTTCTTTCCTCTAGATGCAAGACGCATTCTTGGCAAGTCAGAACAAGCTGCTAAACTAGTTTCTAATAGAAGCTATACTTACGTTTAACCACATCTATTTATATGTAACCTTTCTTTCTCCCATTTTTTCGGAAAGTCTATAGATTTTCCGGCTTTTTCTTGCCAAATTTTTTTGCTTGCCAAATGACTGGTTTATAAAGAAGGGAGGAATTTCAATTCATTTCATTTCTTCTATGAACGACATGAATTAAGCGCAGAAGTTATCGGCTAAAACGCCCTTGAGTTTGCTTGAGCCATTATAGGGGACAAATGTTCCTTGCCAACGGTGCAGTCAAATGTTCACAACTCTGGTCGTTAGAATAGGAGGCGTTTGCGCTCCTGGGGCTAAAGTTCAGCGATGAAAGTCAAGCTCGGCAATCACCCTCCGTAGATTTACTCGTCACTGCCGAAGGTGCCACTCAAAGCGATCTGCGAAGGTTCACCAGTGGAAAATTTTAGATCGATGATTGAATTAAAGACCTGAGAGGAAAATTGTCGCAGTTCGTAGCCAAGACCAGAAGTTTTTTTTAGACCAGCAGGGTGTTTTCAGAACGATAACAGTATATATGTGGGTAAATGTTTCACTTCACACAACTATTTCAGGTGATATCGCTTCAATTTCAATAAATCTTATAACTGCGTAGGGATGATACTTCGTAGTTTATGCTAACGTTCACAGGTTCATAGCAGCGGGATATCCTTCACTCAAAGACTCTGGTATTAGACGCCTGAGGTCTTGTGCAGTCAGATCTTTTTTGGTAGAGAAACAACAAAATTGGAGATCTAAAATTAAATCCCAGCACAAGATATCCTGTGCGTTTAATCGGTATAGTAAAGAATGCCATCGATACTAAATGTGAGTGTGTCTTTTTCGAATGCCTTAAATGAATGAACAATCTTCTTGTATGCATGCAAGAAACTCAGTTAGATGCTCGTATTGAAATAAGCAAATAAGAACAATAAAATATTTGTTAATAATAACTCGTTTGCAATTGCACTATGTACGTTCGGAGCATATTTCAAAACGTACGTATTTTATCTTCATACGTCATTTCAACTCATCGCTTTCAGGCGCCAACCCACTCAGTGACAACATCGCATGTTCACCAACGCTCACATCACTGGAAGCTTCCAACTTATTTTGTTTTGCAGTACCTCTGATCCTCTTGCACCTGAGTGTATTCTCAGCGAAAGATTTACCAATGCTTGCCTACACAGAAAAATGCATGGAAAATATTCCTGCTGAGTCATCACAATTACTTTCTTGGAAAGTTTTTCCGGGCTTTTGAAAAACTGGTTGGAATAATGTTGCAGCAAAAAATTTTGTGGTAACTGGGTGAATGCTCGTTAGCGCTGCTCTTGCTTTGTATATTTCGTTTCTATATGTACCAAAAATTAGCATTCCTCGCACCCACCTATCCTACTCCTCAGCTATCCGTGCGTCCCCGCGATCCACTTTTCACACGTCGTCGGCAGGATTAAACTGTCGAACATTTGTGGCAGTGTAAAAATTATGAGCCACTCGTGTTGGAAGACGAGCAGGGGTCTGCTGAGTGTTCGGGACTGTTCAGGGTCGTAGGATTTAAATTGCGATCATTCGAGCTATTGTTCAGAGCCTTGACGAATGCTTGAAATAATGTGTTAGTATTAAGAGCAAAAAGAAATTTCTGCGTTTCAGCTAAGATATCCTACCCAGCACCGTGGTGTGATTTGATTCTTAGCTGAGCTGTAATACTACCAACTGCTTAAGATGTACAGATCGAATACACACAAGTAATATCCATGAAGCAGTGGAGGACTCATGAACCATGACAACAAGCTTCATGTACTTTAATTAATTAGATTGAAAATCATTCGGCGTACTTGTCATTCATAACTTCTTGCGCGATTATAATCTTAGAAAATTTTCGTCTGGTCTGGGCTCTTATAATATCATCACATTAACGGGATTGTAACGAATAGACTCAACGAGTAGCACGGCACTAATTTGACATTACATCACATATATCATGTGATTTAGTGTTGTTCAAGTTCTAAAATACAATACAGATTACTTTGCAACCTTCAAATTAGGATGGCAAAATTAAATGCGGGAATTTTTCCCACCATTACCAGTTTATGTTGCTATTTGTTAATTGCAAATTCCTTCGTTTTAATTTTTCGCTCATGTTAAATTTGGTTCAGTAGTTCTAAGAGGGAATCGTTTTATCCAGTGGTCATTCGTTCGTTAATGAGTATTTGATAGAGGCACATTGCCAATCTTGTCTAAAATTTCATTCAGTCATTAACCAGCCTCTGTATGAGCAACACTGCCCACTTAATCCGCCTAATTTTCCACATTAAGTCGGCACAACATCAGAAGCTCCTGAAGTTCTAACCGTCTTTCTGTGGCTGTTTCCTAGTCTTTTGGTTTGAGTAAAGGGTTCTATTTATTCATTAATTTATTTACGCTCTGCTACCCCTTATTCTACCGCGCTCTTGACAAATTAATTGATCAATAGGTCAATCGCGTCTAATTATTAATCATTTAAATTTCAAATTGACTATAATGCGTGTTCTCCAATGTTAACTGAGGAACCCGTTTCTTCATCTCTGGCCAACGTTTCTTTACATTTCTCTACTTTCCAACGTCCAGTCACCAACCATCCTTTTCTATTTTTCCGTCTAGAGTACCTTCCTGTTAAATGATTTACCTTGCGTTTAAACTTTACCACTTTCCAATTAGCACTGAGTCGCATCCAAATCTTAGGTTTCTTACTTAAAATATGAATGAATATGAATATTTTATGAATGAATGAATATTTATTTCTTAAAATATTCATTTTTTTCAATCGGCATTATTCATAATTTAGCCAATTTTTATGTAGGATAATCCCGTTGATTAGTGAACTTAATTACTTTTGCCTCACAGTATACCGTATCGGGAATCTACGTAGCAGCATCGTTCAAGTTTTTTTTTTTGGACACTTGGATCCAGGACGAGTATTGCAGCCATCATTGTTGTAGATTTCAATTAATCAATATATACATAAAAATTTAATTATTAAAATTTCGCCGCCTCCTATGATTGGCAAGATCTAGTGTAGAAGCGCGATTCTAAAGTTTCAATAAATATCAGCTGAAACATTTCTTGTTTTATTTATCCAACAGCGTGAAGGGGCACTAATTCCTCTCTGAAAGACAATTTTACACGCGAAACATTCTTACAACAAGGTGATATTAGTTCCAGTATTGATAGAGTAATTATACCATTCACATTTTATAGTGTCTGACTTAGTGTCATCACAGGCCAAATAAGACAACGATATCCCTAAGTTACAATGTTAGCCCCACAATGTGGCATCATCAACGACGTAGGTTCTAGAGACCACGTGAAAGACTCACCCAGGGCGCCAATGACCAGCAGCAGCAGCATCGTGGCGCTCATGCCCAACTCTGAATTTCGTCCACCACGCCGAATATTGCCTCAAAAATACGTATTCATATCTTTGTAGTACGAGGTACTAAATCCATCAAATGACTTGCAAACACCTTAAGTTAAAATGTTTGTGGAGTTAAAAGTTCTTACATTTAATTTTCAGCAAATGGCTCATGTGTCACTTACAAATAGTTCAAGCAAATCTGTAAATTATGAGACCAACGTAAAAGCTTCATTTAGATTTTTTTAATTAAAAATCCCGAGGCAGCTTTGGCGTACCGAGATGCACGTTTAAACTGATAACGGAGAAGTGATAAGAAGCACGAGTGACGACAGGTCAGGAGCGATGAGGCGCGCACCACCGCACACCGCGCCAGACAAGCCACTACTGCCAGGAGCTACACGAGGACAGCGACTCACAGCACAAGTGAGAGGGTCGCGTCATGAGGGCACTTCGCGAGGTACTTCGACGCGTCCAACCTGGGTTCACTCCGTCCTTGGCAAGACCACAGGGGACATACTTTCAAAAAATCGCTAAGTGAACGTAAATACTTACGCTCCATTTTCTTGTCTATGATTGGTGGATTTTGCTTGCGTGGCCGTCAATGATTGGCTGATGAACTTACGATCTCTTAACTTTTTCTGAGAGTATGGGCTCTGGGCCTATACTTTTAAAAACGTTAAGAGATCATAAGTTCATCAGCCAATCATTGACGGCCTTTCAAGCAAAATCCACCAATCATAGACAAGAAAATAGAGCGTAAGTACTTACGTTCACCTTCCGGGTTTTGAAAGTATGGCCCCAGAGGTTATTACCACGGCTATAGGAGTGTAGACCTTTATGCTTAATTCTTGTAAGGGACATACATTAAGGAGCACTTGGTCTTTAAATTAAGGAGCACGGACATAAAACACCTGGTTTTCGAGGATATGCCAGGAATATATTAGGTATGATATATAAGCTAGTTAGATGAAAAAAGAAACATCAAGATGATTATGGAATTCGATAATATTGTTAAAAGTCATGCATCCAAAATAAAAGTATATGTAGAGATCACGTGCTGCATCTTTTATTATAACATCTTGTGCCATGTGACCTGTCGGTCCATCCAACATCTATTGAAAATTTAATGAAATTTTGAGAATATCATCAACAAATATTATTCCTTTAAAAATAAATGCTGTGCTTGACTTAAAACCAAGAAAATCATACCCATTTGTGCCACTCTTTCAAGTAGGCGGGAATCAGCACCGTGTGGTAGCTAGCATTCGTGGCCGATTGACAGAAGTTATTGGTTTTCATTTTTTACTCCTAAATTATGATAGAATTTAGCTGTTCCTGCAGAGCAAATCACACGCAGGAATCCGTTAATTCGATAGAGATTAGAATATTTCATAATAGTATTTTATATCTTACTCTGCTTGTTTCTATCAGAGATTATCGTTTGAAGAAGTTTCTTCGAACGATATTCGTTGTGAATAACGCTTGCTTGTCTATATGTTGTATGGAATATGGGCGGTTTACAGGCGCGGTGTGGACGCTGTGGCCGCTGCAATATATTGCTGAGTTTGGATGCCGTGTTCCTCGTTAGAAGTTTCCATCACGTAACTGTACGACACTTAAACCTGCCCGGGACCTGCGGTGACTGTCCAGCTGTGGCGGTGACTGGCCAGCTGTGGCGGTGACTGGCCAGCTGTGGCGGTGACTGTCCAGCTGTGGCGGTGACTGGCCAGCTGTGGCGGTGACTGGCCAGCTGTGGCGGTGACTGACCAGCTGTGGAGGTGACTGACCAGTTGTGGCGGTGACTGGCCAGCTGTGGCGGTGACTGGCCAGCTGTGGCGGTGACTGGACACAGAAAGCTTTAATAGTTTTGGGCTCTCGAGATGTTATCTGAGGATTAACAATGAAGACTGGAAAACTATTGGAGTTATTAAAACTATAACATGAAACTGGACGTTTTATGTAACACAATCTATTACATTTTCTATTCATTTGACCCCATACTAACTATCACTCATTCAATGTAAAAAATAAGATTTCGATTTTGCGACAAATTTCTGATTCCTCACCGTAAATTTGTATATATGCTAGGGTTTACTTATGAGAACTCTTGTTAGCTTAGAATTGCTGTTGATTCTGCTTCCCTAACTTCGTCAGAAGAAAAAGTATTTAGTCGAGATCAGGGGTTCTGCCGCGGGTCTTGGAGGTCTTCATCTTCATCTCTTATCAATTGCATCAAATGATATTTGCCGACAGTTCAGTCCAAAGTTATACCGCCTTCATGCAGTGTTAAAATCTCTGTGCAATTCGTTATTCATAGCTCACAATCAAAACCGCCGTTTTTGAACCGGTGGACAAGTTACCTCAGTCGAAGTCAAAGTATTTCTACCATCTTGCTAAAAACCTGTTTCTCTATCCCAATTGGCTTGTATAAATGTCATGTGAATTCCGTTTTGTTTAATTTTTTGCTCTATTAAATTCATTTATTTAATCTGTTGGGAAGTTTGACTTAGTTTAAGGATACAATAAGTCCTTAGTTTAAGCATACAATGCAATGATAATATAAATTCATTTCTTCCACAGTATACATTTAATCTGATCATGAAACTGGCTGGCTTAACTTTATTTGTACGTCACGCATTCGTCACCACTTTATTTCATTGAGTGACTAACCCACCATCTTCACCTTCATGTGCACCATATACTGAAGATTGCACTTTTGGATTTGGTTCTTATTGACTATATATTTTCGCCATTACTATGAAGCTAAATCATTCGAACTCAAACTAAAAATTTTGTTCGATAAATTAAAATAGAAGCTTCCTTGATAATTTCTTGTACTCCCTGTCGATTGTGTGAAAATCTCACAATTTCTTCCAATGAGCATGCAGCGCTCAATTTCCCCGAGCGGCCCAAAGCTCAACACAATGTCAATGCCTGCCAACCATCATTGTAAGAAGAACAAGACAGCGTTTCTGGTAAGCCTGTCACAACCCCACACGTGCAGTTAATGTTCGGTAACATGGCCACTTATTCCCTTCTATAGGCAACATGGATTAACTGGCACACGATTGACCCTAACAGCCTTGGATAAGTTGAGCTAATTGAATCCCGTCATTCTGAGCGCAATTGTTGATATCACTTCCCGAACAAAATTTAGAGTCGCCCCAGCTTCTGGTACTCCAAATCAGAAGCTGACACGTCTGTAAATTTTCACTGGGTTGGAACACACATGTTGAAAGCGAATGTTGAACTAAGTTTTCAGCGGCCATTTAGAATTGAAAAATTGTCACTTTACCTAAATTAACGTCAATCGATGTGGGTCTCTGCTATCTGGGAAATTAAATATGCTATTTTGGATTGCAAGAATATTTTACTGTGATTAAGTGAAAATCTTGTTGAATATTTCATGGATTAAATCTAAAATTGCGAAATTAAATTTCATTACTATGACTAATACTGAAATATTACAATGATTACTATGGAATAATATTACTATGATTACAATGAAATATTACTATTATTACTGAAATAATGAATATCTTAAAATGAAATCCGGAATGCTCTTGCTGGTCTCGATCGCAGGTCTAAATCTAACTCCGATCAAGACCAAAAAAAAAAACAAATTGCACTGAAGTGAAGGATTTGTATTTTTGCCGTTATAGCCAAATTCCTGTTTCTGTCATCGTAAGATCTGATATTGACCCAATTAATTTTTAGGGAATGCATGCAATTATTGGCCTGCATTTTTACGCCAAGGTGCATGCTCTGGAAACCCAAATTGAAAATCCTGTTCATTTTTTTACGAAAGTTGAAACAGATTTAGACTTTGACCAAACTGATAATTTAAATGAATAATTCTACAACTGTCTCGTTGGGTGCGGACCGAGACATTGTTATTGTGTCAGGAATTGTGAACTCACGCAATCGGACAGAAATAAAGCAAGAATAGATCCTCTGATATTTGTTTAAATTGTAAACATGAAAGTGCAACTGGCGTTAATCGGGCCAGTCGATTAGGCAGCTGAATTAGAATATTTGTTTACTGGAATATATGTTTACAAACAAAATGGACCAGACGATTGTAATCTTGCTGTAAAGGCGATGATAGCGAAGTATGTCGCATAGTAAAAAATCCTCCAATGCGCTACACTGGCGTGTCCTTGCTATGAAGATATACTGCAAAGAAAAACTGACTATTTTAACTAACTGACGGGATAATTGACAGCAACCACGGAGACGGCTCAGATAATGACAACGGAACGTATGACAAAATTGGCAAACGTAAGATTTTAATGCGTTATAGTGCTAATGTTGTTATAGAAGGTGGCAAATTAGAAATATAGAAGAATTCAGTTAAAGGAAGGTACTCTAGACGGGAATTAGAAAAATATAGTTGAAGACTCGGCTTTGGTAAGCAAAGAAAAAGGTAAAGTACGTTAGTCACTGCTGAGGAAACGTGTTCCTCGGCCAGCAGTGGAGACTCCGCGTTCACAGTAAAGTTGAAACTTGAGTTCGGAATAATTGATCATTGAATGACTTGGAGTACCATAGAATAATTAAATGCAGAGCGTAAATAAATCTAAAGAATAAATAACACACTAATTCAAACAAAACGACAATGAAGCAGTAATTAGGAAGAAAGGTAGAACTTTTAAGGAACTGTTAATTCTGTGCCGGCAGAAGTCAATTAATCGAACGTGAGGCTTGTCCAGGTACATAATGACAAGTGAACTACGCGTTGGACGAAGATAATGATTGAATGAAATTCAGGTCAATATAGACTGGAGATGTGACACGTATGAATGCTGGTACATGAGTCCTTCTCACTGTCTAAAACTACCACCTACTTGAATTACGAAACTTGAACACAACATCTGAACACAACAGCTGAACACAACATCTGAACACAACATCTGAAAACAACATCTGAATACAACATCTGAACACAACATCTGAACACAACATCTGAACACAACATCTGAATACAACATCTGAATACAACATCTGAACACAACATCTGAACACAACATCTGAACACAACATCTGAACACAATATCTGAATACAACATCTGAACACAACATCTGAATACAACATCTGAATACAATATTTGAATGCAACATGAACAAAGGACGAAATCGAACTAACATAAATAAACAAAAATATAACTCAGTACTCACTGCAGTGAGTGACAGAGAGCGCATTTTCTCGTCGACGAAAACGTGAATTCACGGACGGGCAGACAGACGGACACACAGACGGACAAACGGACGGACGGACATGACGAGCACAATAGCGCCTTTTTTCCATAAATGAGAAAATGCGCTAAAAAACAACAAACATTTTTAATGGCTGTAAAAATTTCCCACAGTTGTACGGGACCTTGAGTGCGGCCTTTTAATTTTGCTACTGCTTAAAAATACGAGTATTAAACTTCAACTGCGCATGGTGTGACGCAGTACTCACCCTTTTTGTGTGTTTTCTGACCCATCTTTCTTTTGTTGAATAGATTCATTTTATCAAGTACAGTCGATCTTCGATGCATGAAAATTGAGCCATGGCAGAATAAGCAACATGGTGCCAGGTTATGTTTTCGCTCATTCTCCAATGTCGCTTATCGCAGTCAATTAAACATTAGTAATTTTGTGTGCTTTTGCCATTTCACGAAGAAAATAGTGTAGCGTTTGTTTATACCCAAAGTCATCGCACTCAGATCCATGAAGTTCTGTACTACGGTGCAAGGGGTCATTCTGTGCTAAGGCATTAAAAGAATTATTTGCTATTGTATGATAATAAACAACACCATAATCCCCACCTCTAAAACTGTCAACATCACCATCACTACTAGCATGGTTATCATAAATTCCTCCACTGCTACCACCACTGCTCCCATCACCACCATCGGCCTAATTATATACCGCAGTCGCTCAATGAAGGCATTTTAATTCCTTCTCAAGGATGAAATGAAAAGTCTCATTAAGTTAAGATCTTAGCAGCTCTCGTTCTGGGCGCTTAATTAGGGTTGGATCCACCCAGGAGCTGCGCATTAATATCATCCTCCGTAAAAATGACCGCACGAGAATAAGAGAAGTTAGGCGTAATTAAATAAAGCGCTACTTGGCGAGGCGGTCTCTTGCCTGCCGTCATGGAGCCGCTGCTCCAGTACTCGATGTCGGGGGCGAGATTTTTAGTAATGGTTTCTGAAATTAATCATGCTTGTTGGCTATACTTCACTTTCGTGCCTGCTTTTGAATTTTAGTTCATCGTGTCCGTTGACAATGTTCGATTTTTTTCTGCTGGTTTATGAACTCAATCGTGTCCGTTGACAATACTAGTATTATTGAGCTTGGTTCATGAATAAATCCTGTCTGTTGAAATGCTAATATTTTCGATTTGGTTTCTGAAGCTAACCGTGTCTGTTAACAATAATACTTTTCGTTGTGATGGTTTCTAAAGTACGAGTGTCCGAGGACGACAAAATAATGTTCGCCTTGAGAGTCATCGTTTCTGTGGACAATATTTCTGTGTTTGTTCATGAAGCATCAACCAACACAGTGTTTGTGAACTAGATTTAAGAATTTTACGGTTTGTGGACGAAATTTCTCTGCTGGTTGTCGAATACTTTGAAGATGGTTTCGTGCTGGGGTTTTCAGGTTAAATACGAAAGCTTCTTTGTGAAGAAGCTTTCGCATATTCTTTCTCATATTCATATTTGCTCTGCATCAACGCATATTCTCCGAGACGAATGGAATTGGAATTTTCCAGCCTAGGCCATGTCATTGCTTATGGAGGGGTTAGTACGATACATCTGCTCTAATGCTGAGTGTTGTAAAACAATGAATGCTTGGTACGGTTCATCTGCTTTAATTCTTAGCGTTAAATCAGTGTTTGAGCACCCTGATGTTTTTTAGGCGTCGCCCACGGCCGCGCTAATGAAAGACCTGCGCTCCTATAAATATACCATATTATATTGCTTAGCTTTTAAATAAGTAAATCATTAAGTTATTAAGGTCGACCATTCAAGAAAATTTTCGGTTGACAAAATTCTTATTTAATTTACTGGAGAATTTCTCTATCTCAAGTAATTGTATCCATTGAATCATATGTTTGGTTAAAAATAATGACAGTTTTATTGAGAACTTCTTTTGAGTTTAATCTCTCAAGTTTTCTGATAAGAGGTACAGTAATAGGGCCAATAAGTCCTAAAATTGGTCCAAATGGAAGGTTAGGTAAATCCTGCGACGCACTTCATCATAGCTTACTGGAGAATTTCTCCATCTCAATTTCTCTATCTGCTAAATTTACTGGAGAATTTCTCCATCTAAAATAATTGTATCCATTGAATCATATCACTAGTCATTTCAGGACAATTCAATTCTTTTCCTTAAGAAAAAGTCCAGGCTACTCTTATTGTGATGGCCCATCCGTTTGACGCAGCCATCAACATCGAAAATAATTGATCAGCGTTATACGCAGCTCGAAAGAACGTGATTTTAACATAAACCAGAAACTGAATTAACTGACAAGAAATAAAACGGAAATATGACATTCTCTTCCATAATCTCTCACAAGGTGCAATGATTTACTCACCTATTACCTATCCTCAGCACTACTACTGAGAAAATCTAAATACCTATCTGCGATCAATTTTTCCTTATAAATAAATGTTTATAACACAAGTAATTGCTAATATGCGTGCTACAATCCTTCAATAGGCGTTAATCTCATCAGTTTTTACATTCAGAAGGTGGCAGAGCAGACGATTTCCGCTACCTGACGGGGTATGCCAACCCTAACTGGACGGGCGTGTACTACCAGTTCGCCGAGTACTCCCCCGACCTGAGCGTCGTGTTCCTAGACGACGCCCTCGAGAGCGTCTGTGGCACCGGATAGTGAGTGCATTTAATGAGCCGACCTCCGGCGGTCGTATTTTGTACAGCATGAGATCAAGAAATTTCTGGCTGAACAAGTGAGCCAAAAAATTGTTTATATTTTAATCTATTGTTTGGCCATAATGTGTCTCTGGCGGGGAAAAAATGATAAGATAAAGTTATATTAGTACCAAATTGCTTCAGTAAATCAAATGATTAAATAAAATAAAACTAGAAAAATAATCAAAGAAATAAAAAAATTAAGTGAGCAATTATCTCTAATCATCTTTGAGCAACCTGAACTTTACTTCAATGTAACATATGAATGAAAAAAAAAACATTTAAATTCAAAAGTTAAAGATGAGTTGCAAAAAATCCATACCACTGAATTTTTTCGTTGAATTTTAAAATCGCAGTTAATCAAAGAAGATGGAACGCTGGAAAATCAATAGGAAGTAAATAATGCTTGTTAAAAAAATCCTTTAAATCCTTTAAATAAAAATCAATTTTCAATTTCAAGCGGATGACAACTGCACCCGTTACATAATATTATAATAAATAAAATATAAAATCGCAATAGAAATGTTTAAGTCAGTGATTTGGATTTAAAACTGGTCTTGATATCAGGTACATTTCTCATTCTCTTGAAATTAAAAATCAGCAGACTTTTAAGTTGTATTGTCGTTTTCTTATTACCTAGGTTTTAATATCTTTCGAATATATTTAGATTTCCTCTTTTGATTGTATTTGCATTCAATTAGTTTCTTGAACTGAATTTCTTGAATTTAATCTTGAATTTCTTGAGATAATAGAGCTGGTCTCTGATACCTTTTCAATGAAGATATGGTGAATTTATTTGGTCTTTTTTAATTCATGGTAAACTTACGATTTAAGCAGGCGAATGCTATGACTATCAGTGATCGAGCCACATGAAATTATTCCAAATAATATTATTGTCCCCCACAGCTGGATCTTATACGACGCCACCGACTACGACCCGTACTCCACTGGCATCACTTGCCACTTCCATGGAGTGAACCAGTGCGCCACCTGGGACTCCAGCTGCAGCAATGTTGTGAGGTTTTATCATGTTTAAAGATCATTTTCATGTTAGATGAAAATAAAATTTATTTAGGTTGTTATAACTAAATTTTTAGTTAAGAAAAAAGCTCTGTGTATTATAGGCGATAACCCAAAAAATTGCATTGCGATTTAACAAATTCAGTTACGATTTCAGATTTAGAAAGTTCTTTTCATTGAAGTTAGATTGAAATTTCTGGCAATGGATATGAAACTTTTAATCCAGAGCGATAAGGCAGAGAACCATCCAAAATAGTGAACTACACACAGATTTGTTTATCCAAGGTTATAGCAGAAAACCTTTATAACTAACATGCACAACTACCAGAAGATTGTTTGTCCAGGGTGATGGAAAAAAAATTTCAAACCTTCGGAAAAAATGAAGTTAAAAAATTTTTTTCATGTCATTTTTTCATGAAATTCATGACGGAAAATAATTTCCTAAAAAATTCATAACCGCCCGCAGGCATCATCACTCAGGTACGCCGGTAGCCCCTACGGCCTCAACAACGACTATTATAATCTGTATGAAGGAAAAAGTTTCCGCGGCGAAGAGTTCCAAGGCGACACCGACGCCGCTGACTTGGGTGATTTGGACCTCAAGATCTCATCTTTAATGGTGACGGGGCAGTCGGGGTGGACATTCTATGTGTGAGAGCAACCTGCTATACTGTAATGATCATTAATATCTATAATCACGCTCTTGATAAATCATTTACTCTATGATGCTACAAAATTTATGTTACATTCAATAAGGAAACATGCTAAACCAATATACTGTCTAATGCACCCTCACTCGTTCGAAATCTCGAAATAATTATTGCCTGTACCAGGGGCGTTAACTTCTCGGGCCCCGCCGTGTGCGTGTACGCGGACGAACACGTCACCACCGATGGCATTCATCTCGACTATGCCCGCTTTTTCGACGTAAGAGAGGCCAGAAAAATAAACTTGATGAATATCAATCAGTAGATTGGACTTTAAACAAAACTATAAATAAAATTCTAACGGTTGAAGCCCGTGATGTCAAATGGTAGGCTTCTTCAGACCAACTTTAAAAGGTGTCTTGTACCCAGGATAACCAATGTCTGCAATTCACACAGAAAAATTAAATATTGGTCATCAATAAAATTAAATATTGGTCATCCGGCGATTAGCAGAAGAAGATATTTTATAATATTGTTATTTTCAAAGATATCGCAACCCAATTCATCAAAGTTAGATGAAGACTTAATCACTTAGTTGTTATACATTATATATGTAATAATTAAGAGGCCAGTGCCTACGCTCATGCGGCGCCATTAAGAAGAAAAATATTTCTTACTAACGGAAATATTTCTTCATACATCAAAGTCCATGACATGGATGCATGTTTTGCTATTGTTAATGGCTTTAGATTACCTTGAGACAGCAAATCATCGATTGACGTTGCTGCAAATTTTCGCAGTTTCCTTCACAACTTGAATATTTTCTGCGGATGACACTTTTGGCAAAATTAAATCTGTTAAAAAAATTATGGAAATCAGGTTTACAAATAAGTGCCTGGAATAATTTTTTTTTTCTAAAATGATCTGAAAATCTGACAAAACTTTTTAATTGAACTAGAAGCTTCCGTTTCCACGCACGTCCGAATAAATTCACCATCAGCAACAATGAAATTTCGTCGATAAATGTACATGTTCAAGAACTCTAATTCCAGTATATAAATGCATTTGTGGTGCAGATGAGCGAGCTCGGTCTGCCCGACAACTTCATCAGGTCCGTGGAGCGCGGCTGCCTCAGCGACCGCGTGGTGGGAGCGCCGCCCCCGTGGCGGTGAACAAACGATCAGGAAATTGGCAACAAACGATCAGGAAATTGTTAACAAATGATCGGGAAATTGGCAACAAATGATCAGGAAATTGGCAACAAACGATCAGGAAATTGGCAACAAACAATCAGGAAATTGGCAACAAACGATCAGGAAATTGGCAACAAACGATCAGGAGATTGGCGACTGAACAGACGCGGCTGAAGTGCACTGCACGAATGTACGAGTATATAGTGTATGTGCAACGTCTAAATTTTACGATTCTCCCATTCAAGATAGAGCGGCTTTAGACCGAAGTTTGCGCACAAGTGCAGCACCTAATGTATACTGAGACCAAATTCTTAAAAATTGTATCAAAAAGGCGAAATTCTATCCTTGCTTAGAGTATATGTTTGTGTATTGAATTGCAAATTGTAAAAATTACAATAATTTTGTGCGATTAACATTATAAATGATGCAATTACGATTGATTGATGCATTACGATTATTGGCTGTACGATTAACATAGATTCTTGACGATGTATTGCATGACTTATCGATCGGTACGTGGAGGCAAGGATGAGGAAGGTTGTGAATCTTTAAATTTCTTTTATAATTATTATGTTTTTTAGCCTTAATGTACCGCAATCTTTGCTGAAATGAATTGTTTCATCTTATAATTTTATTGTTTCGTTTAAAATTGCAGAGGCATAATACCAAAATCTTGTTCCAAGATTTTAAACTAAAATCGATGTTCATTAGAAAAGCCCTCATTTATATGTCTGTAAACCAGGAATAAGTTTATGAAAATGTTGAAAATAACCAAATTGGAATAACCTAAAATTAAATAGAATAACTAAAACGACTTTCAGCCCACGGCTCGATATCATTGTTGCCATCGGTGCATCATCGCATTATTCTTCACGTATAATCAAATCACCGATGTTTTGTATCCGAGTCAGATTGTTTTAAGAATTATTGTCTATTTAACCCAAAATGAGTAAATTAGGAATTGTAAAACTTGCTACTTTCAAACTGCTGAGCAACTTCAACCTCGCGGTCTTTATCCAGAAATGAATTTAGAAGTCTGCATCCGCACTGTCGTCTCCCTCTTAGTGCTAAGTTTATCTCGCAATAAGTAATGGGACATTAGATTAAAAGAAACATGAGAGGTGTCGGCATGAAATAGATTTTTGAGGGAGTTTTTTCGAATTAATATGACTGCAAAGTCCACTTAAGCCTACGAAGAAGGGTTAAAGGCTAAAAAAGCCTCTAACTCAAAATATACTAGGATATTTGTAGGTTCCGGTATAAAAATTCCATTTTCCTTTTATTCGCACTTTTTAAAATTTAATGAGGAATTACCGCTATGAAAAATTTTAGCCGGCCAACGCAATTGAGAAAAACAAAATCGCAGAATTTGTCCGTGAAAAAGATCATCTGGCAACCCTTCTAAAGTATGACCAATTGCTAGTTTAACTGGTCGATTTTAGGGTGTGCTTAACAAATTAATTATGTTTAACTATTAACAAACAAATTGTGTATGGTCGTTCAAACAAAGCAATTGTCAATATTTAGTTTTACAGCAGTGAATGAGTGTTCTTTGAATTTAAGTTACCTTACCTATTGATCGCCACATGATTGCAACTACAATTTAATAACTTGTGCTTGGCATTTTAACATGAATCAAACCTCGTCTGAAATATATTCGAAGAGAATGCAGAAAGGGAAAGCCGATATTTTTTATTTGCACAGTTAGTACTGGAAAGCGCCCTAGAAAGTAAGTTGGCCTTAAAACATCGCGAGACATATCATTAGATTCGTAAAGACCATATCTAGCGATTAGCCGATCACTTTTTACAATTTTTTATGTTATTTTTCTGAGTTTTTCCTATTCTGGCCTCTCGTTTCAATATATAATCCAAATAAAAAAATCAGAAAAAGTGACCGACTAATCGCTGTATATAGATCTGGTTTTTTCAAATCGAATGGTATAGCTCTCAATGCTGTAGCTTGAAAATCATAGGAGGAGATAGATTTTTAATATGTATTTTGGAAATTTTAATCGTTCAAGGGAGCCAAATAAGTAAAATTCATTGAAAAAAAGAAAAATATAACAAAAAGTTGTTGTTGTTGTGGTTCCCCGGTCTCATTTTTACAAGAGACCCCCTGGGGTTGAGGAGGTCGGGGAGTTTGGCCGCCATTAAACCAAATATTGTATCTTACTGAATTCGAGCTGTCTTAAAGCAAAACCTAGACATATGCGGCAACGTCTAGAAACGATTTAAAACCACCGTCACGTTGAAAATATTAGATCAATAGGCGTGTTTTCTTCGATCTATGAACAAGTTACGAAAACTACAAAAATTGACGACAGGCCTCCGTCGCACGCTTCCTCCGACGGGTGCCGCCACTGCGCAGAGGCCTCCACATCCAGCGGCATAATCAATTTAATCAATCGGTTGCTGTATCAAGCAACAAAAAGTTGCTTGATATTATGGCCCAAGCTTTACCATTGTCAATTAAATCGCATTTAATGTACTAACACGCGTCTGTAGACTTATTCTTATCCAATTTAACACGAATAATAAGCTATACATGTAAATGTGACTTTTCTCATATTTTTTCTAATACAAAATGTTCATTTTATATAAGTTCAAAATAACCCAACGGAAAAAAATGTACATCCATTTTGCTTTTTTGAACACGCATCGTTTGTTCTTTTCGAACTATTGCTAACACTGCAATTAAACGCCAGTAATGTTCTATAAATACCAGTTTTAAATGAAAATTTGGAAATATTGTTATAAAATGGTCATTTTTTAAAAGTTTCAAACTGCCTTACGCAAAAATTATTGCATGTACATCCATGGTAGTAGCTTTATTGAACGCAACTTGTTTGAATCTTTCAAACGAATGCAAACACTTTGCAATTAGCGTCAATAATGATCTATAAATACAGATTTAATTAAAGAAATTTTTATAAACAATAGTTAAGTAATGTTCATTTTATAAAAATTCAAAACGGCCTCGCGAAAGAAATATGAAAGCTACCTCATCGCGGGTCGCCGGGTTGTTGCAGCCGCTCTGTAATAAGTTTTCTAATAAGCTTACCCTAAAAAATTAGACAGAAAACTAAAAAAACCTAATTCCTTCGTTTTTAGGGTAGACGCACTAATTCTTCTCTTTTGTCTTGATACTCAATATGATTTGATACACGATAGAATGGCTTATCTGGAGGGTCTGCAGCCATGCATGTTTGCAAATTCATACAAACAGATGTTTCGATTACTTTCTAGAGGGATAAGATTATTCGATCAGCACGCAATCTTTACGTACAATGTATAAGTGGATGCATTTTAAATAGGATGTAAATTAGTGTAATATTCCTTTATAAAGAATTTTAACCTTGCTGGACATGGTCGTGCATATCAGTGATTTATAAAGATATTACAAAAGAGAAGTCAGAGCCTCTGTATTTTACGCTGAACGGTTTTCACGCTAATTATCATGATTATATAGTTTTACCGCAGTGGTTCCCAAACTTTTACTAGCTGGCGCCCCCTTGGCTCCCCATTAAATTATTAGTGCCCCCAACCCACTACAGACACATATGGCAACAAACATCTCTTACTTGATATTTGGTATGCTGCAATTTGAAAAGAGAACGGTTAAACACAAATGTGTATTTCACGAATAAAACCCAATTTAGTAGTAGTATAGTATATTACCTTCGGCGTTGAAGAATAGGCCCGGATAGGCCTGTCGTCAATTTTTGTACTTATCGTAACTTGTTCACAGATCAAAGAAAACACGCCTTTTGATTTAATATTTTCAACGGACGGTGGTTTTAAATCGTTTCTAGACGTTGCCGCATATATCCAGGTTTTACTTCAAGACAGCTCGAATTCAGTAAGAGATAATATTTGGTTTAATTTGGATACGGTCAAAAAGGGTGGGTTGTTGTGGGCGACGTGACATCACAGATAGGGAAATTGCCTGCACAACTTTTGCACTCGAGTTAGGGTGGCGTTGGCGTCGTGCAAATCAGGGTGACTTGTAAGTCATGGCGTGACGTGCAAGTCATGGCGTGACGTGCAAGTCATGGCGTGACGTGCAAGTCATGGCGTGACGTGCAAGTCATGGCGTTTATCAGCAGGGACGTCAACATTAATTAAATGAGTATATGTGGAAGAATCATTGACTTCATATCGTTCACTGCCATTTTTTTTATTTCTTTTTGATGACGTAGGGATTGACGATTTTTTCGAATGAATTGTGACTTTATTTAATTCACGCTGTTTTACCACAGATGAAATCAGTTTAATTTTTTTGATGTCGGTTGGTTTCTGAGCGTTCGCGGCGATATGAGAGCAGCGATATCACCACATGAAAGACTGAGATCAACTTTGAGATTTCGGGCAACTGGCAGAAGTTTCAAAGACCTAGAATATACAACAATTATATCAAAACAAGCGCTATGAGCAATGAATTCCTGGTGAAATTCCCGAGAACATTGCCGAAGGTCCGCCATTGTCACCAGACCAATTGAAACTGGGCGCAAATTGAATCGGGGAAACGGTGCTACCGACGACGTGTCCGAGCAGTTCATCGAAATTATGCTCTGTATCGCAAATTTTACTGCAACTGTGCAGTCTTCGCGCCGGCTTCAAGACTGCGCAGTTTTCCCATCCAACGTTTATCCGCAATGTTTTGAAGTGCGCAGATAAATCGCTGTGTAAAACTGCGGACCACCAGCCTTTATCGTTTGTAAGGTGGTTGGGATCGCAGTTTGAATCAGTGTTTAGTAACCCATACTGGGATCGCAGTTCAGTATTGGGAGCGCAGTTTGAATCAGTGTTTGGTAACCTCTGCTACTCAAGAGAAGAGAATAAAATCAAATTTCTCTAGGAGCTGCCAGGCTGAAGGGGGTTGGATAACATTAAGTTTGGACCAGAATATATGGAAATAAGTATCGAAGAACAGGCGATGTTTTCAGCGCCAGGACCCAATGCAATTCCGACAGTGCTGTCGAAGAAGTGTGTTGGAGCACTGAAGGCTCTGCTCACAATGCTCTGGAAAGCCTCATGCAGTGACGGCGGGAATTATTCCTGAGGGCCTCAAATCGGGGCTGATAATGCCAATCCACAGAGGAGGTCAGAGGGACAGGCCCCAAAATTACTGACCTCTTACCTTGACCTCACATGTGATCAAGATTTTTGAGAAGGTGGTGGCCAGGAAACTTGTCCAGTATATGAAAGAGGCTGACCTGTATAATAATGGACAACATGGCTTCCGGCGTAATCGTTCCTGTTTGTCACAGTTACTGGAGCACCATCACCGTCTGGTGGCCCAGCTGGAGGAGAGAGCTGGCGTAGACGTATTTTACCTGGACTTTGCTATAGCTTTTGACAAAGTTTAACATGGGGTGCTAATCAGAGAGCTGAGGCTGTTGGGGGTAGTAGGAAGCTTGTTAAGGTGGATCCACAACTTCCTTACAGATAGAGTACAGGCTGCCGCAATTGGAAATTGTAAACTCGAAATCGAGAAAAGCACGGGTGAAAAGCGGAGTTCCACAGGGCTCAGTGCTTGTAACAATCCTCTTCCTCATCCACATCGCCGATATCGACTCGGAGCTTACCCATGCATCTACATCGTCATTTGCGGACGATACATGAGTGCTGATGAAGATCACAAATGACCTAGACTGCAAGAGGTTACAGAATTGCTGGTCGACAATCTACGATTGGGCCCTAGTAAACAAGATGCAGTTCAACGGCACCAAGTTCGAAGTAATGAGATACAGAGACCGCACAGAGACCGGGTTGCCGCATCGCTATCTTGACATCAAATGGCACAGAAAATGAGGATAAGCAACTACTTCCAGATCTCGGAGTATTTATGAGTACCGAAACCACGTTCGATGCCCATTTCGAGGAAATAGTCGCAGACTAGTTGAGACAAGCAGACAACGGATGGGATGGATCTGGCGGACATTTCGAACGAGAGAAGCAGCACCAATGATTACACTCTTCAGAGCCCTCGTGCTCCCCAATCTTGAGTATTGCTGCCAACTTTGGACGCCGCTCAAGGCAGACGCGGTGCGGAAACTGGAGTCAGTCCAGCGGACCTTCACATCCAGGATCAGTGGTATGAAGGAGCTGAAGCTGAACTACTGGGGAAGATTGAAACACCTGGGACAGTACTCAACGCCCATGATTTCTAATAACCTCCGTAAAAAACACGAATCTCACAGCCCTGTCTGTCGAGATACTCTTCAACTGAGATCTATTCTTGGTGTCGGATCAATAATATATTAGCTATTTTGATCTATTATAATTAGGTAGGTCATTTAGCAAACTATGTATAAACTTTTACAACCGAGTGAGCTGCTCCGCGTGCCACTTCAGCGAGCTGCCCAGTCAAACTTACGACATCAATGTTCAGCGAGCAACAGAGGTAGGAGGTACTCGAACTTTCCGCTGCGTCTCATATGCGTCTCATTTCATGCAGTTTTTGCAATGGCGGGCAATGAACTCACATACAATGAGATCAAAATCTATTGGAATAAATAATCTTAAAGGAAGAAACTAGCGATGAAGATGAGCATGCATCAACGATAAAGATGCACATGTCTCAGGAACACGCACACTCAGGCACCTCCCCATGGGCAACATTGCCACAATATCGAACGGTCTGAGTTGTCGTACAAGGAATTGGCTCTCCATGAAGCCAGAAATTTTGTCCTTTCATTCTCATAATTTTTATAAAAGGATTCGAGTTCACTATTGTGCGTTTGAAAACTTCACTTAATAGGAAAAATCTATATGACTGTCTGGTAAAATAATCGCTGCCTATGTAAAATGGAAGGCACCTGAAAAATGCACAATAGAATTAAGGCAGCTATCATTTGCAGCCGAGGTTGTAGGGCGATTAGGGCGATTAGGGACTCCCCTCTTGATGCCTTGCCAAAAGTGCTGATAGGAGGGGAGTTCACCCTTGCAACTTTCAAGAGACGACTGGACAATTGGTTGAGAAAGATCCCGGATTGTTCAGTAATGGGAAATTACTCTCAGCAAGTGACAAGCAACAGCATCTTGCATCAGCTGGCCCAAAGGAGGGCAAACATACGGAACACGTCCAACGTTACATCCGGGACCCGAGGGCGGGGTGACCTGCCTAGCGACGACTCGGCGACGGAGGAAGACGAAAGCGGCGCATCAGCGTGACCGGGGAATAGGAAGTCCCATACCCATCATAAGGTCATAAGGATTTCATCCACGTACACTCACAAACGGCTGGTCCCGAGAAATTGGCGCCTCTAGGGGACGAAATATTCATTTCGAGGTTTCAAAAGTGGGAGGGTGCATTCGATAGTAAGTTGGTTGGGAATCATCAAGGGAGATCGAAACTCCTCATCAAAACCGCAAAATTTACAGAGACGTGTTCTCTGAAAACATGTAAGTGACTGAAGACTGGAAAAGCAAATAACATTGGACGCCACTAGATATTCCAGTAAAAACCGCGCATTCAAGAGGCGTATGCTATGAAAACACAGCAACAATTCCTAATTTATGCTAAGTTATTTATATTGTTTCCTATTTGTCTATTATAGCGGTTTATAAACCATTTCCAAATTTACATTCCGCTGCAGGATAACAACTCATACATAGGTTGAAAATATAAGAGTTGAATAGAAATTTTTTAATCATTTCTGTGACGTAAAACAATCATAACAAATCATAGAATTTTTATTTTATGTTCATCTTACCTGATAAGGTAAGAAAATTTCAATGGTTTTTTAGAATGAAAGATTAATTCTTAATTTTCACTTATAATTGGGATTTTCCATTGCATCATTTGTAACTCACTTAGCAGCAGCCAACAAATGTGCCAAGTAAAAGGTGCTTGAATTCATGCCGCCGTCATGCTGAACATGCAGTTATCGGTGGTATTTGCCAGAAATCACTCGTGCAGATCTCTCAGCTCATGAGAATTACGACATGTGTCTTGATTTTCATAGCGTTTCTTGGTACTTAAATAACGACTTTTGCAAATGCTTTTTGCATTCCGCTTACATAGCGCCCGATAGTTTTACGATCTAGCTTGTTCGTTGGAAGATCAAGATGATTACTCTTTTCTGCGCAATATTGTGCTCATTACTGGTTCTTGCTTCAAGTTCTCCGATTGAAGGAGGTAACGCAATTTTTTACTTGGCGACCATTTGTTTGTTACCGCAAAGTACATTTTCCTGCTTTTAATCAACTATCAACATATCAACTTGTGACCAACATATTAAACTATTTTAAACTCAGAGCAAGTCTTCTCTTTGGTAGGAACCCTGTAGAATGTGACTCGTTGGAACTGTATGATAATTGGTTAATTTCAAAGAAATGAAAATAAGCGCTTTTTACATAAATTTTGCCCTATTCAGAGGTTAAACTTCAAATTTTGATTTATTCTCTGAAGTTCTTTGGATTGACCTTAAGAAAGATAGTAATAATGTGAATAAATATGTAATTGAACTTAAGAGTGGGCGAATTTCCAGTGCATCTATAATACGAGTACAACGCTTTAATATAGTAAAGCTCGTCTCTGGGTCAAGCGGAAATTATGGTAGACCATCAAATAGGAATTAATGAGCTCAACGAAAAACCAAACTTCATATGATCACTAAATTGGGTATGCTCTTTTTCTTTCAAGATCATCTTGAATTATTGTGATCAGCGCTGCGAATTCAACTAACTTGAGCGCTTTTATTAGGTAGACTCAATTCAGCACAGGCAGGTAATTTAAAATTTTTAATGTCAATCGAGTATATATTAGTGAGGTAAATAGGGACACTTTTTGCAGTGAACAAAGGTTTGTTTAACTATGACTTCAAATTATGAGACTAGTTAAATTTGATTTGAACGATAAATATGACTTATGTCAAAAATACCTTGATAACGATAAATATGACTTATGTCAAAAATACCTTGCTAACGATAAATATGACTTATGTCAAAAATACATTGCTATAATTTGTTGAATTAATAGGACACATTTACGAGTTATTTCAGGTTGATTTGGCCTTCCACAATAAAAAATTCAGTTTATAGAATTGATATTGACGGCCTGTCTGAGTCTGGTGATCTTCAGCTTCCATTCAGGTCAGAAATCTAGAAGAAAGTGAAATCATGTACCAAGACTAATAATAATTCACCGGATGCACTGATTAGGAAATAGGTTTTTTCCTTAAGGTTTGGAAATTTACATTATCGATGTCGACCGTACATTATTGTTTTTTTCGCTCGATCATCAATTGCTATAGTTCTGACAGATTGGTGCCTAAGTGGCTTACAAGGCGCGTGACTATAGGTTCTCGTATGAATGGGTTAAGGCAAAAATGGTACGGAGAAACAGTTGTAATGAAACACTGGTATATTCCATACTAAAATGGAAAATTTAAGTTCACATCCTACGTTAAAAAAAACTTTAGTACATGAAAAAGAAAGTCCGAACACAATCAAAATTGAGAGCCTATCAGTTACTGTAAGTCAAACTCGAAGCGACTCATTAAGAGCTTTAATCCACAAGAACGCAATAATCTGAAACAATATAACACTTCTATAGAAAATACTAAGAACGAAATAACTGGATATATTCATACATGAAATGTCACACGTAAAGCGGTAAATTGCTGGATACTTACAGAGAATGAGAATAGCAGTTAACATTGCAAGAGTCGAGCCAGTTCTGCTGATAATCAAAACTTTTCAATCAAAGTAACTTACTGGCATCTATACTACGGTACGGAATAATATGTACATGTGAAGACTACCCTAGAAACTTCACGACAGTTACCATTACTAAAATTTCTCTATTTACCAAAAAAGTTGATCCGTTACAGTTCCGTTGAGTAGACGACAGTTGTAAACGACCGAAATTCGCGCACCCGTTTACGGCCGTATGTTCAGCGACCGTACCGCAGCTGTAGCCGCGCGTTTGCAGCCGTATTCCACGTGGCCGTACTGCAGCCGTAGCCGCGCGTCGATCCCCGCGGTCGCTTTTTCTTCATAACCGTCGTGTCTCGCTGATAAGATGCCTCACGGTCAGTCTGGCCGTATAGGTTTCTTGTACCGACCGTACTTCGGAATAGTGGTGTTCGTTTTCATAGTCGATGATATTTCTCCCAGCTCATTGCCGTACTGCGGTTAAATTTGGCTGTGACCGTACCGCTTCTTCTGATGAGAATTGTGACCGTATCGTATTGATGACCGTACTGAAGATATGTAATTGTTGCTCGGTGATTGAAAACATGTATCTTTATGATTGCTGGCGTTATATCGTTGAATGTCTTGCTGTTTATCACGTTATCTAACGGCTCAGTCTCCACAGTAGCAATGAACGTTGACCGTACAAATAAGCGAAGTTACGGCCGTTACTCGTAGATTTTTACGTTATTATATGAGAGTCGTAGTGTTATGAATGACTCGTCGTTGTGATTTTTTTATTTGTGTGATCCAGATAAGGATGCCATAGTATATGCTATTATATTATGTGTTGAGCATAGTCATCATTCAAATGTAACCTATGAAACTGTTAAATTTCAGTAACCGCAAGACCGGATGACTTCCGGTACCTAACAGCGTATTCCGAGCCGGATTCGATCGGCGAGAACTACACGTTCTACGAGTACACGCCTGAGTTGAGCGTGGTGATGATGAACAATGTCATCGATAGCGTGTGTGCGACTGGATTGTGAGTACATTCGCGGAACAATACCATTTGATGCAATTTAAATTCATTTATAAATTTGTTAGGGTCTTTGTTGATTCGGGAAACAAATGTTATGAAGAAAAATCATTCCAGAAAGAAAATCATTTCTTTGCAATTTCGTGGCATGATAATGATCAGGTCACAAAAAAGCAATTTGGAATATTTCTATTTGGTAAAGCAATGTTAAGAACTTTGTTCAACTCAACTTTCAACCTAATTCACAGCTGGATACTTTATGACTCCATCAACTACATTGACCGGTTTGTTTCCTGCATTTATCATGGAGTAAGCGCCTGCGCGACCTTTGCCCCAGCCTGTCAGAATAGGGTGAGAAAACCTTTTTTCATCTGTCAGACTTCTTTCGCCATGTCTAGTTGAATCCAAGATGTATGTATGCCTTAGTAGCACGTTACTTTCACTACTGTAAAGCTCGCATTTTGTTTTGATGGTTATTTTTTCATTGCATGTATTGTGGTTGAATGGCTGCGTGTAAGGGCATCCAATATTCAACCCTCTTATAATTAGTTAAACGAATATAATTATCCTTAATTTTTCTAAAATATGGATCGTTTTGTAAACCTTCCGAACTACTTCTATCCTCTTTTAGCCTTGGTTACCCAAGTTTGGGGCGAAACCTTAAATAGCTCCTTAATTGTTGCTCTAATTTGTAATATTTCCTTATATATTGTGCTAAATATCAACATTGTGTCATACTGTTTTGTACAATTGGTATTAAATGTGCAACTTCCGTATGAAACTTACGTACACGCTCATATACACTTTCCTCTTAAGCGTCTTTCTCGTTAATTCTCGTTTCAGTACCCCTCGCGTTAGACTTTGCCTATAGCAGTACCGAACACTCCACTTCTATAGACGCTTTGTCTGAATGAATCAAAGGTTTGATCACACTAAAATTATAACATGTCCCACATTTATATACATCGATACAACATTTACGGCAAGCTGAGTAAATAATTCAGGTAGTAGAAATAATTCTCATATACGTAGTGACTAGGCTGGGATTATCCTGAATAATATATTGCTTGCAGGCATCTTCGCTTAGATATGCCGGCAGTCCATACGGCCTCAACAATGACTACTACAATTTGTATCAAGAGATATATTTAGGAGGTGAGGAATTTCGAGGCGAAAAGGACGCTGCCGACCTGGGCGATTTTGACCTCACCATTTCTTCATTAGTGGTGACTGGCCAGTCAGCGTGGACATTCTATAGGTGAGTCCGCGCACCTTCTTAGTAACAATTCTCGGCATCAACAATGTCGAACTAATTTGTCACGCCTTTAATTTTTCTTTCATCAGTTCAAGCATCTCACTAACATCTAATGAGGAAAGTTTTAATTACAAACTGTTTTACAGCAACTACAAACTCTTACGTTTTTTTTCGATGTAATGTTAGGTCTTGTTTAGGTTTTATGTCTGTCTTAGAATTTTGATATAGTAATATGATTTTATTCATTTTTAGTTTTTCGAACTGATGATGGAGCTGGACTCCAAAACGTTTTCAATATCGATATGGTGAATTTGCTTGGTGTTTTCTTTGCTTTAAAATTCCTTGTCTCACTGTTCCAGTTATGAAAGAAATATTTAAACCAACAGAGGCCTCAACTACACGGGGTTGCCCATGTGCATGTATCCAGATGGGCACTACACAAACGATGGCATTGATATCGACTACGGATTTATTTTCGACGTAAGATTGCAAAAAATTTTTGTTCTTCATGTTAGAGGGAATTCAACCATTGCACGTAGATTGCAAGTTTATTGAATCAGAATCAATAAACTTGTGCTCTATCCTTTGGTTAAGCTTTCGAAGATGCTAAATAGCGGGCTGTCAGTTTTCCTCCCATTGATTTCGTTTAAAAATCAAGAGAACTCCCATCCAATGGGCACACGCCGGAGTGCTGTGAAAGGCGATATCAAATTTGCTATCCCGACAATGTAGTGGTAAATCAATACGAACCGGTTAGAAAGCATAAATACAGGCTATGAAGTTTTATTATGAAAAGATAAGAACCTCCTCTTAAAATACTACAATTTTACCCATACAATACATTAGACTATACTGACCCATGTCAACTGAAATCATAGTGCAAAAAAATTAAACAAGTTGCGATAGCTGTGAAACTTCCGGTTCTTTCACCTTCTTTTCAGCTGAAATATATAAAAACCTCGTCCCCAAACCAGAACGGTTGTCGTCTAATGATAAACCCACTTCTCAATTCATATAGATTCAATTAGACAGCTGAGGCTCTTGAGCTCCTAGGCAACATGTAAGAGCTCCAGACAAACCCATAATGAGATGGTTAGGCTCTACAACTGTAGGTCCTCTCGCGCGCGAGTCTCGTCTCCAGTGTATCAACAGCGTCTTCTTGTCCCGTTTACACTTGGTGGCAACAATATTAACGGTGAGGCGAGTGTCAAGCGCTTGCTGCAGCACCTGACGCCCACAACCGTTCACACATATTTTTGTACGCGGTAGCTCGAGACCCAGCGCTTTTGAAGATTTGTTTCCAGACAGACGTCAGTGAGGATGATAGTATCCGAATTTAAGCTCTGGGCCATTGTTCTCGGATGCGCTGCTGTTAAGAAAAGATGTAGGCGTCGCCGTGTTTGGGTGAAAAAGGTTGCAAAGAAGAGCGGGGCTCACACAATTACATTTTCAAATAATTATCGGCTGAAAATGTATCAGACTTTCAAAATTAGTTTAGACTGCCAGTGGACTTGTTTGTCATTCATCTAAAGAAATACCGTAACGCCACTCATCCAGAAGCAGGATGATGGAATTGCGATGGAATTAAATTGGAATGGAATTCATTTCACGATGAAATTGCGAACGTAACGTGTGAATTTTCTTGCGAACTTTGGCAATGGTGACGCACACAGAAGTTTCTAAAAACTTCAATTATTTTTACCAGAGCTTGTTCTTTTGCATTTCGATTTTTATTTTTTTATTGCATTTCGGGTGGTGAAGTGGGGGAGGAAGGAGTAGCAATACACCCGGGGCAGGTCCAGGTGCGGCAGTACTGGGATGCCCGGCTGAGCCCGGAGCACCGTTTATGGACCCAGAGATTGCAGCAATTGCACTGGAAGGAGACTGCCCGCCAGGTGACCGAGCGCCCGCAGACGCCACATGGGTGAGAGCTGCCAGGGCCGGGGTGAGGGTGGATACCCGCCATCAAGAGAAGGAGGGTGACTGTGACTACTCAATCAGTTTTTCAGTAGCGTATTCACTGAAGAGGACTTGAACAGTATTCCAGCTATTGAGGAGCGCCCAGTCGGCTCTAAATTAACAAGTTTTCAAATACAAGAAGAAGAGGTTCTCAAGCGCCTTATCGCTGTAAATCCAAACAAGTCAAGTGGACCTGACGGCTTCCACCCCAGATTACTCAAAAAGTTAGCAACTGTCCAAGCCGGCCCTTTGACGTAATTTTTTCTAAAAACTTTGAACAAAGGGATCTTGACGGCTGCCTGGAAAGATGCTCAAGTGACACCATTATTCAAAAAAGGTGACAAAAGCTGCCCGGGCAACTATCGCCCTGTCAGTTTGACAAGTGTCGTTTGCAAGGTAATGGAATCTGTTGTGAGGGATCGATTGATAGATCATTTGACTGCTAATAATCTCCTATCAGACTGTCAACATGGCTTCATTACCGGGAGATCCTGCACCACTAACCTCTTGTCGACTCTGAACGAATGGACCCACCTGCTGGACGAAAGGGAGCCAGTAGATGCAGTGTACCTCGATTTTGCCAAGGCATTTGACAGTGTCCCACATGAGCGGTTGTTGCGTAAATTGAAGTCTTTGGGAATTGAGAGTAATGTACTCAAATGGATCCGAGATTTTCTAGTAGGGAGGCGACAACGTGTCAGTATTAATGGGTCCGTATCAGGCTGGGCTTCAGTGCGCAACGGCGTGCCACAAGGAAGCGTTCTCGGGCCTATTCTAGTCCTTGCGTTTATAAACGATCTGCCAGCTGTGTCTAGCGTTTGCTCGATATGTATGCTGACGACACAAAAATTTATAATACGGTGAAGAATACGTCGCAAAAAGTACTGTTGCAAGGTGATCTTGACAGGCTGGTTGACTGGGCGGATAAGTGGCAGCTGCGTTTTAACGCTGACAAATGTAAAGTTATCCACCTTGGCAAGAATAATGAACAGCAAGATTACAGTATGAGAAGACACGGTTACAACGACAGAGTGATGATGTCAAAGTCGACAACGGAAAAGGATTTAGGAGTTAATATTGACAATGAGTTGAAACTTTATAAGCATATTGAAGGTCAAGTTAATAAAGCCAATAAACGACTTGGACTTATCAGACGCTCTTTCGAGTTTCTAGATGCAGAAACGATGAAGCAGTTGTTTGTTGCTGTCGTGCGCCCGAACCTAGAGTTTGGAAACGTCGTGTGGTCACCGAAATTTGGAAAGGACAAAAATTTAGTAGAGAGTGTTCAAAGACGCGCAACAAGGATAGTTCCGGGCTTGAAAAGCAAGTCCTATGAGGAAAGATTAAAGATTATGAAGCTTCCAAGCCTCCGTTATCGACGTCTGCGTGGGAAGATATGAATTTTTGTGGACTATTCTTTGCTTTTAAATTCTTAGTTAGTAGATAGATGTCTGTGGTCTAGTAAGGTTGATTGTGTACGCTGGTCCGGCACACCAAATGTCGACCAACACAACTCTCGTTTGGAGTCCGCCTAATTGATCTTTATAGAGAACACGAATGCCTATGGAGTGTTCGGTCAAAGGAGTACAAAAATCGAAATGCAAATGATGTAAGTTATTTTTACATGACGTGTTTAATTTATGTGATTTTAGCAACTCCTGACAATTTATGCATTACCGTTTAGCGATTTCAAAGGATGATATAATATTGGTACGAATATTGGAACTTTTCATTTAAGAATAAACTATATTTTTATAAACTATCTTTTTGAATGTGCTAGTTCTCTTATTATGATGCGTATACTAAATTCTCGTTTACAACTGGCATAGTGCGAAGAATGACGGACTTAGTGTTTATTACAACAAAAATATCTCGCCGCATAGCATTTGATAATAAATAGAGATGGATTCAATGGCCACAAACAATTATAATGTATACTTTTCTTAACCGCAGCACACCCGAGAACAATGGCCCACAGCTCAAATTCGGTAACATCCATCCTCATTGACGTCTAGGTGGCAACTAGTGTTCAAAGTGCGCGGTCTCTAACTACCGAGTACAAAAGTAGTGTGAACGGTTGTGCGCGGTGAGGCACTGCAGCAAACGACTCAAAGCGCATGTCGTTGCCACTAGTGTAAACGGGCCTTTATTTATTTAAGGTATTATCTTGGTACATAATTCAGGGTTGCCAGATGGCCTAAAAGACGGCCAATTAAGTCCGTGAACAAAAAGGCCTATAACTCAATATATACTAGTATATTTGTAGGTTCCGGTGTAAAAATTAAATTTTTTTTATTTAATTAGGAAGTGCTCCTTACAACCCCTATCATAAATTTTAGCCGATAACCTAAATCGAAAAAAACTAAATCGCGGAATTTGTCCGGTAAAAAAAGAAAGTCTGGCAATCCTGTTCCATAATAGTACTAGAAAAATGAAACAAAAGTACAAGATGAAGCAATCGTAGTCAAAGTGTTAAGACGCTGCACAGAGGGGCGGTGAGGCGCTTGACGCCCGTGTGTTGCCCCTATTGCATGTGAGCGGGCCTTTAGACAAGAGTGTTCTTTTCCCTCAGTAGTCCTTCGCTTCAGCGATAACTCCCAAACATTATTCTCTATGATTGTAAATCACACGAGATAGATAGAATGTGATCCCCACGTCCATGAGAAATAACCAAGTGCAAAAAAAATAGTTAAACATCCAGCCTAAACCAAGAATCGCTATAAAGCAATGTCGATCAACTGGGTATACGACGGTATTTATCCAGGACATTTTAGCAGGGGGAAATAAACACGAATCGTCAACATTAAAACCCCAACTATAAATAGGAAACAAAACTTGACCACGGAAACTCCTACATAAGAGTATACGTGAACTTTCTTACGCATCACTGAAAATGAGGCCAAGAAGCAATCCGGTTGAAATTCACGCAATATCACGAACAAGTGTGAAACGAAATGACAAGTATTGCAATTCTGGGTCTTTAATGCATATAACTAAAAATCACGAGACGTGCTTTAATGGCAACCCTAAACAATGATCACTAAAAGAAAGAAACGCTAGATAAGACGGCACAATCTTATAGATTCTATTTCTAATTATCAGATATGCGCCAAATAAATTACGTTCTGGGTGAAAAATGCATCATTTATTTTAGTTCTTCATTACATCCTACGGATGACAGGTGTAGAGAATATTTTTACGACTTTTCATAGACTCTAACTGAGTCTATGGCTGAATATTATATGCACTGTTCCTTGCTTACTGTTCAGGAAAAATCAATGAAAAGCTGCCATTATTTCGATCCAATGTGTCGTTTGCAAGTAGTTTCAAACCAAAAGCGGCCATCCTTGGCAAGAAAAATTGCCCTTATCATTAATCCAGTTGAAATAAAGCCCACACTGAACCACTGAACAGAAATTTCATGGATGAGTTCGACTGAGAAATATTTCTCCATCCAAGACATTTACCTGACCTGGGGCTTAGATTTTTATTACTACGTCATTTGGTAAAAAGAACCTTTTAGAAGTTTTTTGCTATAATCCAGTATAATTCAATTGCAACGAATTTGATTCCAATTTTCCAACGCAGGATACTTGTAATTCTTTTTTGACACTTGCAACGTATTTTAACCATGGAATCTTATTTCTCCTATGGCGATACAAAACAAATTTTTCATTAACGCCTCTGGTATGAAAGAAATGCACATCTGTGAATGCAAATCGTCTTGAATTTTAATTTTAATCCCCATGTGCAGATGAGTGAGTTCGGCTGGCCCGACAACTCCATCAGGTCTGTGAGGCGCGGCTGCCACGTCCAGAATGTTGTGCGAGCGCCAGTGAACCGCACTCCAGGCGGTGGGAAAACGTCCATGACGTCAGCACCTGAAGAGATGGATGCGATGTCCATCACAAGCGTACACACAGTGCATGTGTAGCGCATACATGGTCAAGGTCTTAGTTTACACTTTTAGTGAAAGAACTAAGTGTGAACGCGTCAGCTTATTTATTTACTGATTAGCTACTCATATTATGTTGGGGAGGGAAAATTTTTTGTTATTTTGAATGTTCATTCGTGGGTATATGAAACTGTCGGAATGGAAGCAAGAATTTTGTACGTTTTCTTCCTCCAATATCAATGCTAGTCAGAAGCGCTCAATCCATTATGGCGTGACTGCCCTTTGGTAAGATTGTCACCGGACGTTCACCGCAACCTTCGATCTTGTCAGAATGTATTGAGCCTTACGGCCAAACACCGGCAATTATCTTGTAAAAATACGCTGACTTTGACAAAAGTTCAATTGCCCTGGGATTTCGTCAATTAAAACTTCGGTTAACATATTAAATCGGTTAAACTAATTAAAACTTCGGTTAACAGATTTATTCCAGCAAGGGACAGTTTAAGACAGGCACGTTTAAAATTTCAAGCTTGAGCGGCATTAGGTGACATGATCGAGAAACAGTTTAATAAATCTTTCGCGGCACAGCCACGACTCTAGCGTTATTTCAAAGAATCGCCGAGAGTTAATAGAGCGGAGTGAGTTTAGGCAAGTGTAGCATACCAAGATACCTGTATACTTAGTGAGTAGCCACGAAGAAGAAGCACGTTGAGAAGTCTTGCTCCATTAGCTTTCGTCCTTGTTTCGTGTTCATTATGTTGGTTTCAATAAAATCTGTTACATGCAGCGGTGTTCTTCCCACCCTTCACGCGCCTAACCTCATACGTTGCCCAGTGGTTTAAGGTAAGAGTACCAGGATTGGCGCAGAGAGGCGCGGGTTTGATCCCAGCTCTGTGCGCCTGTTTCTGGTCAGAATTGGCAAGGAGGCTTGGCGGTTAAGCACAGCAAAATTGTAGCAGTGAGTTGTGTGTTCGAGATCACATCAAGTTGTGAATATTCTGCGATGTTAAGAATCGGAGACAGGCCTACGGCCTAATAAACGCTGAAACCGCTATTAAAGTGTTTAAAATGTCTAGTACGATAATAGGGGTTAGTACGATACATCTGCTCTAATGCTGAGTGTTGTAAAACAATGAATGCTTGGTACGGTTCATCTGCTTTAATTCTTAGCGTTAAATCAGTGTTTGAGCACCCTGATGTTTTCAGTGTATCAGGTATCACTGATACGGGTGAGCGCTAACCCATCGAACTTTGATCTCCAAGCACTGAGCGCGCGGCAACACGAGCCAACGACGCGCACTGGCGAGTTGTGCCCACCGTGTGACCGTGTGATGTGCGCTGGATCCTTCACCGTGTGATGTGCGCCGGATCCTTCACCGTGTGATGTGCGCTGGATCCTTCACCGTGTGATGTGCAGTGGGTTCTTCACCGTGTGATGTGTGCTGAATCCATCACCGTGTGATGTGGATCCTGTGATGTGTCCTGTGCTGCGTTCTTCACCGTGTGATGGGCACTGGATCCTTCACCGTTTGATGTGCGCTGGATCCTTCTCTGTGTGAAGTTTATATGTTCCGTCACCGTGTGATGTGCACTGTAGCCTGCATCGTATGATTCGCACGGGATCCTTAACCGTGCGAGGTGCTTCACTCTTCAATAGGTTGTGTCAATTGATTGTGGATGTAGTTTGAATGTGTGACGTGTATGTACAGTTTAGACCAATGATGTGGATGTGGGCTGATCGTGTTGCGTGGATGAAAAAGAAACCAGTGGGTAGCTACGAGTAGAGTGGGGAACTTAGTATTTATTTATGACTAAGCCGCGAAAACAGGTTGAGTTTCCATAACGCAAAGTTTTGTATTTTATAAAGCATCACTTCGTATGATGATAGCCTAAACCTCCTGGTTCCTAATAAGGTTTATTCCCTTATGACACTTTCGAACAAAAAACAGTTTCAAATATTCTGTTGACATTAAGATTGTTCATCGGTTAATCTATGAATAGACACATTGGACATGTTGGCCCTAAATCGTTTACGCGTTGTAGTTTTGATCAACAATTTTTCTGTTGTAGTTCAAATTTGTCTTCAGTGGGCACTCATCGTAATCTGATGAACGCGGTACATTTAGACGATTATTACTGAGCGCTGGTCACATCGTCACAGAATCAGACTTGGAGCCGCCTTCCAAGCAGCAGTACATCATTCAGCTGTCACACAATCATTTTATTCAGATTTTATCAGCAAGTATGAACGCAATCTTCGCAGTCTCTCTTTTAAGAAATATTGTATTGTATTAAATAAAGCGCTACTTGGCACGGCGGCCTGTTGCCTGCCGTCACGGAGTCGCACCTCCACCACTCGATGTCGGGGGCGAGATTTTTGCTAATGGTTTCTGAAATTAATCAAGCTCTATAAAGCTTATGTAATTATATTATATATTATATGATAATTATATTATAAATTATTCAATTCTTTATGCATTTTGGCAGTACTTCTTTCTTGCTCTTGTAAACTGAAAACTTTAAGTATTCATCATGAGACAAATCCGTTCTCCGGAGACCTAATTTGTGATTATAGGAATGCAGCGATTGAAATCAATTGAGAGTCCCCTGCTTTCGTTAAATTAAATTTGAACGAATAATCAACCGATTGTTCATTGTACATATAGTGAGGAAGTCAATTCAGCGCTAGGAAGCTTCATGGAAAATAAATTTCCACCTTTTCAGAAATTAGAAAATCGGTGCCGCAATGAAGGCTGTATTAGCAGGATAAGCACATATCTCACCGAATTTTTTATTCCATGTGCGTCACCTGATTTTTTAATTTTACCGGATGTACATAAACTTACACAAAACGACTAAGATTGACCAAAAAATCAAGCAAATTCTAACCGGAAATAGTAGAAGTTGAACAGGTAGCTGTATCATACATAGTTCATGAAATCATTACAGCAAGGGAAGCTAAAATGTCGTCTGCCGACAGAAATATGTAGCTTAAGTCTTATGAGGGAGAACAAAGGAGCTACAATTTACTAAAATGAGAGGAAGTCGATGGAAGAGGCAACGCGGTAGCGCATCATTTTTCGGCGGCCAATATAGAGGCGCTGATAACTGATCGGCCTTCACGGTAGGCCCGATTGACCGTTTATCTGCTCAGTTCTGAGCACCAAAAACAATATTGACGGAGCGACCAGGAACAACAGCACCGCGTACGGCAGCGGCTGCGATGAGCACTCCAACTAGTGAGTTTCTTCCTAGGAATAGAAGCTCGATCTTCGCTCAAATTTCCGACGCTAAAGCTAACAACTGCAACGCGGTTCCTAACGTGCACCTTGTCGGCTCTTATGCAAATCAGGATTAAAATATATGGCTTCCTATGCATAGTGAAACGGCGCTCCAGCGTCACATGCTACAGTCAAAGATCGGTGGGATGTTTCAACAGTTTCAGCGCTCATCGGACGTAATATTTACAATATTTTATAGCTTGACTTCTTTGTTCTAATCCTGACATTTTAATTTCATATGACGAGAGATGAGGTATAAATGACTGGTTCTAAGTGCTGTCCTCGTAAATTCATTACTCATGAAATAATAAATTTCTCATAGTTATCCGTGAGCTACGAAGCAGAATTTTGGGGCTGGGCGAACTTTACGAGGCATGCGAGGCTGCGTTTATTACTTCCTCTCCATGACTATAAATTACGGAAGAAGCTCTCTTGACGATAATATGTTCATAATACCATCTGCCGTTACCATGTAATGGTGGCGATAGTAGCTACATAAGACCATAGTCCGTTACCATGTAATGGAGGCGGCAGTAGCTACATAATACCATCTTCCCGTTACCATGGAATGGAGGCGGCAGTAGCTACATAATACCATCTATTGGAGCCCTAGATCGTTAGAAATAGTGCAGTTGGAGCTCTAGATCGTTAGAGATAGTACAGTTAGAGCTCTAGATTGTTAGAGTTAGCATAGTCAGAGCGAGTCGATATGTCAGTATCAGACAGGCTGGCTGCTCACAGACGCTCCTCAGGTCCATGCCTGAATACTACTAATAAAAGGATAAATATCCATTGGTGTCGTCAAAAATTATTTTTATTGAAGTCTCCTCTATTGAGAATCTACATAAAAAAAGATCTACATAAATGAATAGTCTACATAAATGCATGATGCCGGTCAGTCAACTCGCGTTCAGAACATACCAGACTCATGATCGAGGTGGCCTCCAGAGCCGGTTCAACAAAACATGGAGAAAGAATCCTTCTCCTGTCCTTACAATATTGAAGGTACCGAGGCCGTTCACAGGAACGTATTGAGTATAATAGCGTGGTTTTTAATTTGATTAAGATTGGTTTTGAATAGTAAAAATTATGCGTGGTAAATGTGTTATAAATTAACGGTCATCAGGCTAAATAATATTAGAGCAGAAAAAAATCTGACAACGCTCGCACGATCGCATTGTGAATGAAAAGCTTCCTTTTCAATTTGGTCAAGATCGGTATTTACTACTTGAAAAGTTCATGCCGTGAAATTTGCTATGATAATTCGTCCCAACAATTCCGTCCAAAAATCCGTCTCAAAAGTGTTGAAACGGTCCGATATCATCACTGCACGGCCATCACGCCATTTTAAAGCATTACTTCACTGCCTAAATTGAGCGACCTCTTCCATAGAGGCAAAACATGGCTCGCATCTTCCATCAGGTGATAATGAGATTTTTCCATAAATACGGCACGTCCAGTGAGGCTGTACGTAATGATCAGGAACATTTTCAGTGTTCATATTGCAGACTAAAATTGGCCAGCGAGTTATATCGTCCACACACGATCAAAATTATTATGGCGATACTCGATGGGCTCAACAAAACGTCTATCGATGTCTAAACTCTTGACGTAAGAAAAAGATTTCAAACAGTTCAATACAATTTTTTACGATTTTTATATTTTGAAATTGAATATCATTGTACAATAGATCGATTAAATGCATTCTTCAATTGTTTAGTTGGGAAACAACAGTGACAAACTCTCATCTCAATTCGTCCTTCACGTTACAAATGAGCAAATGAGAAGTGACTCAGAATATCATATATCGAGTATATCGAGAGTTCGCAGTTTTGTTAATAAAATTAAATTGTACAGAAGGTAATTAAAATTTGGTTACAATTTCATCAAATCTTAACTCTGATCCTGAAAGGAATTAATAGGAACACAAAATTTGCAACACCATTAATGCGAAACCGAATGTTCTTAAAGAACCTCATTGCTGATTGACATTATTAGGCTTGATTCACACCATACTGCAGGGCCCGTGCCAGTCACGTTCCGGTACAATATTCTTTAATGCACTTTCTATAGAATCATTCACACCCGTTGTGCATGGCACCTGCCCTGCCCATGGTGTGAGTGCTTCTATGAAAATGCATTAAAGAATATTGGACTGAACCGTGGCTGGTATATGCCTGGTATAGATACGGGTTTAGATCTATGAACAAGGCACGAAAAGGAAAAGAATCGGCGACAGGCCACATCAGGCCTACATTTCAGCGCCGACATCATTATGTTATGTTATGTTATGCCTGGCACGTGCCCGGCAGTACGATGTGAATCCGGCCTAAAAATTCAGCGATTTTGATAGTAATCTTGTAGTCATATCAGAAGAGATGAATCTGAAGAGACAAACCTAAAGAGACGAAGCAGCTCGAAGCTGTACATAGACAATAGAGTAAAATGAAGTTTAGTAGCCTATTTCAGAGGCACCGTTAGAGACTATGCTAATTCTGGTGTACTATGAATGAATGAAAGCGGGGATATTTTGTTAGCAACTAGCACTGTCATGAACTGGCAGAATATTTAGAAATATATTGTTCACGTGACATTGTCAATTCAACTGCATCCGAACGATTTTCGTTAGAACTTCGTCGTAGAAAGAATTTGGTATAGTCTGCCATATAATTATTTCTTTGAATAATACGGGGGCGTACTAATGTATTTAGCAGGGAATTTCTGTGTGTAGGTTCCTGTAATAGTTGTCTTTAGACATGAACTGCAATAAAATATAATATGATATAGTATTAAAAATGTTTTAACTTATGGTTTATGGACAGATAAATTATTATTATGTTATATGATACAAATGTATTCAGACAACTGTTTCGATAATGTACACACCAGCACCTCCAGCCAAAACACTGTAGCTGTTAACAGTCACCAGGCTCACCTGGCTAGAGTTGAGTAAGAGTTGTTCAGAACTTCAGTTACACATTGGAAGTGTTCGTGAGGGGTGAGTGCTTTTCACCCGCATTGTCGTTTTTGTGACTCTCGTATAAGGTTGCTCAAAATCCAACTAACCATGCTTGAGGTTAGTTAATATACCAAATGTTTCCCGAATATGTTGCCAAATAGGATCTATTTTATGAATGCACATCTTCATGTATAACTTATTAGATTTGTTGTGATTTCTGCGGTTGGTAAACTACTGGTTTTGGATTCTGCTCACACGGCTCACCTACAACAAGAATAAAATAATTCTGGGAACAATCGTCCAGCCGGTCCCGGTGATTAATTCCTGTTACTGTTGAAAATTCCCTATTTGTTGCTAAAATAAAGAGGGAATTTTGTATAGGTCCAGTTTTTCAGCATTCCAGTTTTTGCATTCAAGTTACTCTGACGTAGCACCTACCGGTATCTATTGACTATTGTAGCCTTTCGCTGCGCGACGGCGATTAATTTAAGATCCAAGCGGAATTTTGTGGGAACTGATGTAAAAATAATTTAGTCCACGTAGACGAGGTACCAAAATAAAGTGTTTTATTTATATTGGGACAATGCTTCAAAATTTTCTACTGTCTTTATACTGAATTGTATAATTTAGCGAATGATTTTAGAGCACACCTTCCAATATCGATTTGATGCACTTGAACTTTTCTTTTTGTTACAGATAATTTCGAAGATTATGATTACCTACACCTGATATAGAAGATGATCGTCAGAGTGCATCTGTGCTACGATCCGTCATGAGGTTCTTTGGTCGCTGTGGCAGACGGTAATGATAACGTCGAATTCAGAAGTTATTACAAACTGATATTTTTTGCTACTGCTGCGTTCGATATTCATTATCTTTCACTCTGCATTCTTTTTTAGAACTGGAAAACTTGTTTGTCTTTTGCAAAAATGAGGATGGTGAATGCAGATCCTGTAATTTCACATTCTATTTCAATTATTTTTAATGCCGTTCAAAACGGTACTTGCGTTAATCCACTATTGAAATCCCGGCATTGAAATATGTCGAATATAATTTTGCATTTCTCAATTTTATCAGTTGAAATGGAAATATCGATGCATTTTTATCAATTATTTAAAAATTGAAATATTTTAGTGAATTATTTCACGTTGGTACCTTATAATTTTATTGAGCCCCTTAAAATGAATTTTTAAAACTAGATTCGAGTTTTGCATTAGAGACAAAGTTAACAAAGCGTTAACAATCCTAACAAAAAATTATCCCGACATGGTCACAGTTATAAAACCATCGTGCCAAAAGACGAACCATTTAAGCGGTAGTTTGGTCCATTAGACACATTGTTATACTTGACCTTATAAAATACCAATATTTTATTTGTGGGACATCTTATGACGACAGTTTTGTTTTGTTACAGAATTCGGAGTCAATACGTGCACCTCATGGAGCGCTATGTTGGAATACGTCCTTCATTCTCTCTCATCTACCGATATCGGTGGGCTTTCATTGCGTACGTTGCTGTAAAAACATTTTTCTTCCTCATGTTTCTACGGATGTATCTGTTGTCAAGCTCATCCACAAGCAGTCCAGCTGCTGGAAGAGTATTCTCTTTTCAAGGAAGCGATTTTAATAGCAACTACCTCATGGATCTAACAAATTTTACGTATTTAGCAAATCCACCAATTTGCGGTGAATCAACGAATGTGCTGGCAGTGGTTTTGGTTCACACTCACCCTAGTCATATTGATCTCAGAAATACGTTCCGAAGACAAATGCCTCAAGAAATTTTGGCCGAAATTGGCCTCAGAAGAGTGTTCCTAATAGGCCAAGCAAATAAAGGACAATCCTTGTATCCATCGGTGAAGCAAAGCGAAATTGACGCGGAGAATGAAGTTTTCCGCGATATGGTCCAAGGTAACTTCGAAGAGCACTACCGCAACCTAACTTACAAACACGTCATGGGCTTAACTTGGGCAACACGTTTCTGTTCTCATGCAGCGTTCATCATCAAAATGGATGACGACATCGCAGTAGACTTATTCCAGGTACGACAGTTACTGCAGTTCAGGTATCGTGAAGCGCATAACACCCTGCTAGGGCTGGTTCAAACAGACAACCACCCTCTCAGAACTAATCACAGCAAGTGGAAGGTAACACAAGAAGAATTTAGCGGAAATGTATACCCTCCGTTTTTATCGGGCTGGTGCTACATGGCACCAATGGAAGTAGTTAAAAAACTTGCTCAGAACGCGCATAAATTTCCTTATTTCTGGATCGATGACGTCTTCGTGACCGGCATAATGGCGGAAGATCTGAAGATAGAACGGCAAGGCCTCAACCACCTGTACACAATCCACTCAGCTCTTCTGGAATGTTGCACTCTGGAACAATTTTCTCCGAAGAAATATTACTGCGATGTTTTTGCAGGACCCACTTCAGGAGATAATAATCTATACAAAGCAGCTCTTGATCAGTTCTACTACTGTTATCGGAAAGGCTGCGGAAGAAGGACCGGTACTGAGATCCTAATTAGGACGTGTGTTGTGACGCCCAAAGAAACTCCTTATGGTCGAGGTGTGGGGGAAGTAATTGCCTTATAAATATACGCAAGTCTTGTGGATATTCAATTATTACTTCGAGTGATCCGCTATATAATTTTCAAGATTTTTATTGAATTGTTGAACTTTCATACTAAAATATTTTTTTATCTAATTTCTGTACATTTTTATACTTGTTATCGCGCATAATTATAAAAATTATGTCGTTGTTAAAACGAATGTGATGAAACTGCTGTTTATATTTAGTGTAATAATATAAATATATAATGGGATTCACACATAAAGTCTGGTCTCCTTCTTTGTTAAGCGTTGTTTGAACGTTCAATAAAATTTATGTAATTCCAGGTTAGTTGCGTCGTTCATGTCATATCGTAGAAGAAATATTCGATGTTGTTAATTTCAATTCAATCGATTTAAAATACTTTAGGCTCATTTATATCTTGAATGAATAATTCTATTGTTGTATGAATAATAATTAATACCCAAGTAAATATTATTACCAAGTACAATTTTTTTTTTCAATTAACGAGTGCTTTATCCGAAATTCTCACGATAAATTAAAATTAAAAGACACCCTGGCAACAACTCTGTGGTATAGATTTTTTTAACACTAGTAAAAATAAGGACATTGAGCCAATCGCGCTGAAATCGCGATTGGCGATTCGCGGTGAATTAGTTAGTTAGTTTAGTGGCCCTATGATTACTAGCGCTTCAGCTGCTAAGCTATCTCGCGCCGAATGTCACGTTGGGCATTATGGGCTAAGAACATATTGCATCACATGTATTCAGCGTTGATCAGATCATATACAGTCGAACATGTTTATTGCTCTCAGGTAACCCCCCCACGACAAGGGCGAGATGGCACGGGGGGGTCGCGGTGAATTAATAAAGCAGGAAACATCGATGCCACTTTAGCCGGGGACAAAAATGTACTGCAAAAACGTGCAGTAAATATTGCTGGTGAAAGAGTTACACAAACTGCGAGTTGCTCGTATGTATATTTACGCTACTAGCAAAATGAATTCAAAATTTACTTGGTTGCGATACACGAATTATTGTATAATCACTTCAAAGTATTAAATTTTTGTAGGACAATCATACTGGAGGTGTGAAATTTAAAATGAATATATTTTATTGGTTCTTCAGCAGCGAAATTGACAAGACTAACTAAATGTTGCCAGCAAGCGAGCACCGTATATCCTAATTATAAAATTCAAAGCATCTCTAGATGTAACTCAGAAACGATCACGGTGCTAGCGAATTAAGTTACCGGGTCTGCAATTGGCTGGTTAATAACAATATAATATAATATAGTGCTTTCAGTTTTTAGTAGGCCGTAGGCATGTCGACGATTCTTAACATCGAAAAACATTCACTGCGTGTTGCGGTCTCGAACTCGCAACTCACTGCTTCAAAATTTCTTAGCTTAACCGCCCGGCCTCCTCGCCGATTCTAACCAGAAACTGACGCACAGAGCTGGGATCGAACCCGAGTCTCTCTGCTCCAATCCTGGTGCTCTGAACTGTAACCACTGGATTACAAGAGTTAGATTGACTGCCTGATTCACGAAGTGTTCTTTATTCTACGAGTACCGTGCCTTGAGAGTACAATGCTTGCAAGAAATATTCCATTCTAATCAGCTAGTCTAACTCATAGCAAATGTTGATCGATGGACTAGGGCATCGAAACTTTATTTCAAACAGATGGATGGAATTTGTAAGGCCACAGATAAGGAGGAAGGCTACGGCAATATGAACGAGTCACAGGAAAATATATTAATTGTCTTTTGAAATATGACGGAGTAAGATTATGCGATATTGAACTGTTCATAAATATTTTGGATGCAGAAGACACCCGAGGTCACATGGACGTAACACGAAAACCTTATACATCAATTAAAATCCGGTTGAGAACACAATACACTAAATCATGAGAAAATCAAGAAGCAGACGGTATTTCCATAGGGTTGGGAATACATACAAAGCTAAAAACCAAAACCGCATACGACATACAAAAAAAAAGACTAAGCCAAGACTCTACTCAACTTGCAAGGTAATGTAGTTACAATCGTTGAGAGAACTTATTCATCGTTCTAAAATCCATAATACGTTGCAAACTAAGCAGAACAAGATAAGGTTCTATTGAGATCATAGCGTATAGTAGCTCAAGCTAGAGTACAACCAGTTGAACAAAAAAAGAAATTGCTTGTTCAATACCACTGGAAAGGGAAAATATCATGGAAAATGTTTACTTGGAGCGAACTTATGTGTACGTAACATTGCACAAGCAGAGATGTTCTCAAGTTGGAATGATCCACAGGCAAGAGAAGAACAGAAATGTAGGAAGGGGCAAAATGTTATAATAGAGCTGCCAGCGACTGCATGAGCTAGCACGAGAGGACGCTTAACGAGAATAACTATTACATTAATAACCTGTAATTGTGTTGTGCAAGAAATGATGCAATAATAGTTCATATTTGAAAGCCAAAGACAACAATAGTCAGGGTAGAGTTAATGCAAAGTGAAGTGTGGAGGAATTGATCCAGCATCTTGTTCATTTCTTATGATTATAATAAATGTCTATAAACAGATCATATGTATCTTAACTTATAACGACAAACATTCTGAAATATTATAACCATTGGAAGTAATCACCTACCCATCTTATTTACATAGGAACAAAGAACAATACACTTAGCATAATGACTGAAGCGCAAGCATATGGAAGTTGTGACTACCTCATATAAACTAAAGGATATGCACCATGAAAGTTCCAGTAAAAAGGAGAATAAAATATAATTTTAAATATATCTACCTCAACTATTTTGGTGGCACAAGCATGAGTATCAAAATTGTCGAGCATTATAGCATGAACAGGGAATTAGAGAAGCTTGTTTTTGAACAAAAGAAATCCCATATGATTACTATAAGTTTACTAAACTTTATAACAATACTTGTCTTTGAAATAATCTTAAAATATAATATAGGAATAATAGGAACAAAGGGTCCTATAAACTTTCTAGAGATAAATTGATGTATTCTCATTCGTCTTTCTGGGCATGACTAGCATTCCTACATTGATAAATTATAGACAATTGATGGATACTCATAACAATCAACATAGATTTAAAAATAAAACGCATCAACTATGGTGGTTAGCAGAATTACATTGACCAAAAATGAAATTTACTTGGCATAAAGCTGTAGAAAAAGACACTTTTTAATTTGAGATACGAGCTTGCAATACGAAGTACGAGAACCTTTTTTATATCTTACTAATTTATCTAAAGAATTGGATATAACAACAAGCACCAGGTATAAGTTTAGAAAGGGACATTTGCCTGAAGAACAGGGCTTGGAGCAGCAATCGATGAACTAACTCATTTTATCACAGATATGTGGGAGACTGGCATAAAGTTGTTGTTACCAATAAACTGTAATAATAAAGATGAAAATTGATTATGGATGCAATAAAGTTGATTCTTTAATAGCTCATTAACTTCACAGCATGAAGAAACCCGAGGACTGGTGGAATGATAAACTTGGTATTAAATCAACTGTAACACTCCATTGCTGTGTGTATGGGTGAATTTGATAATGCAGTTTAAAATCTGAGTTTATCTCATCAAAAATTAGGCTGATAGCCAGCACTGAATGTCATTCCAGGATACAACTGAAAATTTAATATACATAGGCATGAAATTATTTTTCCTTTATTCTATTTTGATTTTTTTTTTTTTTTGCATTTAGCTAACAATATCACTGAGTAACATGGTACCAAATTACCCAGATCTATAGATAAAAAAGTTTAACAACCACTAAACAACCTTTTGAAATTCTGGCATATTTGAAGTGGATGCAACATAAATAAAATTTAAATAGTCGAATATAATTTCTAATCTTGAATCTTTTTAACAAAGAGCAGAAAAAAAAGAATAACTTAGATAATGCTAATAAAATAGAATATATCTTGTTCATTATTTTTAGTACATTATGTCACTTCCATGCAGTTGAGAACCTAAATAATATGAGTTTAAAAATTTCTTTTTAAAGACAACACTTCTGAACAATCCAGTGTCTTGGAAGTAACACATGTACAATGAATTTCTAATTTTATTTTCAAATAATAAAGAAAAATATTTTTCACAATTTTTTCAATATATCATAATTTAGCAAATTATCAAAATTATTTATTCTGTCAACTGATTCAGGCATTTTCTCTGACTTAGTGACTTTATGCAGTTGTGCAAAATTTCAGATCGATTGGACTGGTCTTATAATATGAATTATAAGATTTGTAGCAGACGAAATTATTTTTCAATTTTTTTAACAATGAAAAAATTTTTTTAATTTATAAAATGATTTATTCTGTCAATTGATTTATGCATTGTATCCAACTTTACACAAGTGTGCAAAGTTTCAGTTCAGAACGATTGGACAGGTAGAAGTGTGTCAGATATCGATAATGAGATTTGTAGCTGACAAAATTCTTTTTATTTTTTTTTTTTTAATATTGAAAAAAAAAATCATTTTTAAAATAATTTATTCTGTCAATCGATTCATGCATTGTCTTCAACTTTATGCAAGTGTGCCAAATTTCAGATAGATTGGACAGGTAGAAGTGTGTTAAATATTGATTATAAGATTTGTAGCAAACAGACAGACAGACAGACAGACAAACAAACAAACAACAAGAATTGAAGTTAAAGAGAAGTGTTGTAAAAGCATTTTTTATCAGAAAAAACTGTTAAAAATCACTGTTTCTTAAGACATTATGCCATGTTATTAGCTCAAGAAAAAGTATTTAATGAAGCTGGCAGAATAATTAAGGATATAACATTATCCTCGTATGTTATATGATAGAGCTCAAGTATTAGGATGGGGCATTTTATATTCAGCAACAGTAAGTTGATAATGATAGAAGTCATAGTATGCAGCCATGTGGAAGCCCATGTTTGTGAGCACAATGAGGTACTCAAGAAAAGCAAATGCCGTGTACATGCCGGGCTCGCAGTAGGTGTTGTGGCGATGGTAAAAATAAAGTGCCACCATGAAGCAAAATATGTTGGCAAACATCAGTTGTTTCTGCACAAACAAAAAATGTAATTAGACAAATAAATTATTTTCCTCATGAACACAATAAGGAGATTAGAAAGTAATGCGGTTTTAGTTCAAAGAAGCAGATGAGATACAAAATAATTCCTTTGTACAATCCATGATAAAAATTAGCATATGTTGAAGAGTATAAATGATAATTTAAATTTTATTGATGGTTAAGTTTCCACAAGCTTACCTTGATAGAGAATGCTCTGTGCTCGAGCAGAGACACAAACTGACGGGTGTTGTCTTTCAGAAGTAGACATGTCAGCAGCATGTACAGCTCAGAGCAAACCATGAACATAATGAAGAACAATTTATGCAGCTCATAGTTCTCTCTAGATGATACAAATGACAAACCAAGAAGAGAAGAAACTTCAACCAAATTCAGGCATGTATAGATCTTCTGCAACACCTGTGGATGATGATATTGAGAGAGTTCAAGTTTTGAGACAACTTTTGAAAATGCTTTTATATTTAAAAAATTATTATTAGAAAGTTTGGTATAATCATCAATGTACTTTATTAAAGCATTTTTATAGAGTATTAACTCTATATTATTAATTACATGACCCAAATTGAATAAGACAACTACATTCCTTTCAGCAACCATGTTGTTTCAACAGGATGACATTCATTTATTAGGAACTGAAGAACTCTTATAATCTTAGAACTTTTCCAGTTTACATTCACAAGTCCTGTATCTGTAATAACACTATTATAAACTGCATATAAAATTTAACATTGAACAACAGGCATCCAAAAATGTAATAAAATTCTACAAAAACACTATATATCATATGCTGTTATGTGCAGTGAATAAAGGCACATAAATTCAAGCATTATAAGAGTCTGACCTGATATACAGGATGCTTGGGAAGTATTCTGTTCATGAAGGCAACATAGAGATAAGCTGCAAGGAATCGTGGAGCTGAATGAAGAGCCACAGCTGTCCGCCAAATGTAGCGTTGAGGTACAAACTCCCCAATAGCACTAGAGATGGATGGCAAGTAATTGGTCACCTGCAAACATGAATAAATTTCATTATATAAATTATAGAAAAAATTTCAATTTTAAACAGCTATAATAGATTAATTCTAAGCAACTATTCAATTTCATCAACTTTTGATTTCACACTTTTTGAAATTTGTAAAGGAGACAAGCTCAGTTATTTTTTTCCTTAGTAATTTACAAATAATCTTCCCTTGAAAATGATCAAAATGGTTTACATTTTATTCTACCTATAATAAATAATTCTAAATCATTTAATAGTAGTAGTAATTTTATCAAACTTTTCTGCTAATGGGTCAATTTTGAATATTGGGTAGAAGTTTCCCAAAATCATGGGTAAAAACCATTATTTGCAGGTGATTTTTGAAAATTACAGATAACAAAAAGCAATTTTTCTAATTCCCTACTAAATTAATGCCATAGGAAGAGGTAAAATTTGCCAGATCCATGAGCAATTTTGTACAATTCATGAGCAGCTTCTGTTCAGTTTCCCAGTCAGGCTCATGGGGATCTAAATTCTTTGTTATGAATAGCAACAAGAAAGTCTCTTGTCCAAAGGACAGTTTCATCATTCAACTTGAAAATTGTTTCAGAGTTAGGATGTTTGTTTCATTAGAGCACCAATTATCAGGCAGAATTCAAATAATGCAGGCAAATTTAAGAATTTATGGGCAATAGTTGAAAAATAGTGCAATTTTTGTGTACATAATGAAAAATATTTTGTCATGGACAAAAAGCATGGGTACTTTTTTCACAGTTAGGCTTCTTATAAATTTTTCAGAATGATTAGAGCAGAGCAATTCAAATGTTTCTAGGGTAAACGCAGTATACACTGTATTCTGACACTTTAGGGAAGTAGCAAAATATGAATGGCTATAAAAAATACACCGTACGAGCAACTCAAGTTCTGTTTGCTTTACTTCACTCTCAAAACACTGCACTACGCACCAACAATGAAACGTCACAAAATGTTGCCATATTTATTTAAAAGCCTTTAGAATACAAACCTACCAAATCCATATATTCTGACACTGTGTATGACTAAATTTGGCATTTCGTGAGATTAATTCCGGCCGCGCTTCAAACTCTACTAATTTGTAATGCCGACACCCTTGTGTTGTATTGGAATACGACAGCTTGGAATTAGAACACTATTGAATATTGAACACTACTTAATTTGGCTTTTAATCAAGAGCTATTAAGCTTTTAATTAAGAAAATTTTAATTTTTGCACACAGCTTGGAACGAGCTGTGTGTGTCTAAATCCTAGCGGTGTCAGAATTAGTTTTTATGCGTCTAAAACCGTCTCTTAACTTAATCATCAATTAATTTTTTTACCACTTGAAATCAGCAAATACAAGTATACTTAAAGGATTTCTAATATACTCACAGACGTATTTAAAAGTCTCAAACCATAATATTCTTTCTACACAAACAGTTTATTACTATTTGGTACTTGGTAGAGCAAGGTCAACTATCTACTTTGACATATTTTGTGATGTTCTCACTGGGTGACGTGCACTGTCTCTCTTTACATCTCGACATTTTCCCGCCAAACAGCCCAAACCTAGTGTTTTGGCAATAGTATGACGCCGCTTGGCGCGCAAAAGTATGACGTCACTATTTCAACCATCAACGAATGCATGGAACTAAGAAAAAACTTAATATAAAGGAAAAAAGTTGAGAAGTGTCAGTCTGTTGGAATTACCCACAATGTCAAAATATACCGCATTTACCCTATTTTAGGCTCAAGGCTGGCAACCTAATTGCTGTGGCTGCATGGCACAGTGCAAGTTGGCAACATTAGTGCATTTAGTGGCATTGATGATAAATTGGTAGGGTAAACCCGGTATATTCCGACATCGTGGGTAATTCCGTCACCTCTTTAGTTTTTCCTTTATATTAAGCTTTATTTTAGTTCCATGCGTTCATTGATGGTTGAAATGGTGGCCTCATACATTTGCGCGTCGAACTACTGCCAAACACTAGGTCTTGGCCATCTAGCGGGAAAATATTGAGATCCAAAGAGATACAATGCACGCTACCCAGTGAGATCATTGAAAAATGTGTCAAATTTGACAGTTGACATGGCTCTACCAAATAGTGAATAACTGTTTGTATAGGAAGAATATTATAGTTTGAGACTTTTAAATACGTCTGTGGACTGTGAATATATTAGGAATCCTTTAAGTATACTTGTATTTGCTGATTTCAAGTCGTAAATAAATTAATAGATGATTAAGTTGAGATGTTGGATTTAGACACATGAAAACTAATTCCAACACAACTTGAATTGGACACACACAGATCATTCAAAGCTTTGTACAAAAATTGAAATTTGCTTAATTAAAAGCCTAATAGCTGAGTTGCTGACGCGTAGTGAAGTGTTTTGAGAGTCATGTGAAGGCAAAAGAACTTGCATAACGCATACGGTTTTTTTTATAGTTTTTCATTTCTCGATGCGTCCTTAATGTGTCGGAATATACCGCGTTTACCCTAGTCATGTTTGAGTTTGACCAACAAGATTTTTTGCAAATTTATAATATATAGGAATTTTACAATCTTGCCTCAAAAGTCTGAAAGACAAACTGAAAAAGTCTCACAGAGCTCAGGCCTCACAAAGAGCCCATCTAAAATTTTAGGAAGATTTTTCAAAAATTGCAGCTGAAACTAATTAAACTAATTGTTTCTTTATTTTCCCATTGTAATATTTTTTAATTCTGATAATAAAGCATCATGCAATTTAATTTCACTTTAATAAATTCACAAATTACTCAATTGATAAACTGATGGGAATAAATTAGGAGTGCAAACAAAAATATAAAACTTACTCCACAGTGGGTAGCTGTTGACACATCAAAGTTATAACGAACAGAAAAATAAATACAAAAAATGAAAGCTCCGAGTGGAAGGGAGACGGTCACTAATGCTATTTTACGCATGTGAAGTCTCACTGCTACACCAGTCTTGTTATTATTAGATTCATTGCAGACATTGCGTTTAGTAAAAATTTCGTTCGCAGTAGTGTAGTCGTCACACAACAAGCTATTTGTTTCAGTTCCATCCATCCCTGCAGCTTACTCAGCATATGATCTCTCATAGAAATGTTTTAATCACAACAATAAAAATTGAAGACTCCAAAAAAATATCTTGAATATCATCCGAGCACTGAGCAGCCTTCTTCTTCTTCGGATCCGTTTTTTATAAGGACTGGGTTGTTCACCACCCACCGAGCAGCCTTTCCATTCAACCTAGCGTATACGGTTTGACACACTAAAGTTGACAGGGAAGGCCACAGAGAAGGACACGCAATCAGCATGACAAATTTTATCGAAAGTAACTCAAGAATACCAGAAATATCATATACTAATCGAATGCAAATACTCTCTAATATGAGAATAGAATTAATTATCATATTTCGCATAAAAAACTAATAAAGTTATATACATATCAGTTTACTTCTATGATTTTTAAGGAATGGCTGTCGGTATTACTGCCATAACAGTAGGCATAAGGCATAACTCCCCGCGATTTAAATGGCACGTACATCTGCCCATGATGATGTGCGGCTTTATTTATCTGGTGCAGCTTACAGTCTTGATGACTGTGTATTATCTGCAGATGACTATCTAAAAATAGGTGATTACATTTTTTTCTTTATATTCTGTATCGGGTATCTATATATCTTGATGACTATATTCTAATTGTAATTCACCTGTAGTGACCTATCTTGCACGTTGCACCTTGCACGTTTACAAAGGCACACACAATTCAAGAAACGCCCAATACATCACGTCAGTCCAAATTTTGATGCGAGTTCAATTGTTCTTGTATCTTTGTATGTGAATGTGCATATTTATTTCAGTCGTTTTAAATTTATGCATCATACGTTCTTTTTAATGCGTGTGTCTGTGTGTAAACGTGCAAGATGGAATAGCTAACATTGGCAGGAATTCATTGATAGAGCCTAGTTAGAGGCACTGGCAAAGGAGAACATTTTTTGTTGCCCTTCCTCAAGCCTTCTTCAAGTTCATTTTTGAGTCCTATAGGCTATAGGTGAGGGGCCGTGACGTGAGTCGTGAGGCTAGCCTATAACTATAAATAGACTAGTGAGTATCTTGGATTAGCCTAGGTACTGCATGTGCATTATCATAAATAAATAAAAATGATTTAAATATTGAGTAGATAAGGGTATTGAGTATGAACTGATTCTAAAAATTCTCTGGTTTGTAAGTGGCACAGCAGATAGTTTTTTAGACTCTCCCTCAAGTTCATTTTTGAGATTTGAGTCCTATTGGTAGATCAGTAAAGTATCTTGGATACCAGCATTATCAGTTTATCATGCTTAAGAAATTGGTTTAAATCTTGAGTAAATGAGGAAATTGAAATGAACTGAGTCTGAAAAAGCCCTGGTTTGCCAGTTTCCACTATGTTAAATAAAATAAACTACTACCTATGATGGGCGGGCACAGGGGCCAGGGCACTGTTATCTTGTACAGATCACTGTTAACAGGTTTGGGTTCTCCCCAATTTTCCTATTTGTGCTAGAAACTTGCTTTTCAGTTTTGCTTTGAAAATGGATTGTTTCTATTGAAAGCTGGCAACATATAATTAGACATATTAGTGCTGGGGTGAGTGTGACAACCCTGACATAATTAATTGCCAATTACTTAAGAATTAGGCATTATGCTACCGTACTGTGCTACACCCTGACCAAGTCTCCAAGATTGGGAATTTCTTGGGAAATATCCTAAATCTAGAAAAATTCTTTGAAAAATTGATCTGAAAAATTAATGAATGATTACAAAACCATATAAATACTCTTTAAGGAATTTTTCATTGTTTTTCAAGATCTGCAAGCTGGGGTGAATGCGGTATATTCCAACACATTAAGGACGTAGCAAGAAATGAATGGCTATAAAAATATCACTTTATGCGCAACTTGAGTTCTGATTGGTTTACGTCACTCTCAAAACACCACACTACGCACCAGCAACAATGAAACGTCACAAACTGGTGCCATATTTATTTACCTAAAAGCCTTTATAATTCAAACCTACAAAATCCCTGAATTCCGATGCTCTGTGACTGTGTGACTAAATTAGGCATATTAGGAGACTAATTCTGGCAGCACTTCAAACTCTATTAATTTGTAATTCTGGCGCTCTGTGTTAGAATTCCAACACCCTGTGTGAGCTGTATTAGAATATGACACAGCTTGGAACAAGCTTGATTAAGGAATTGTAATTTTTTAATTAAGCTTTTAACTAAGAGCTATTGAGTTTTTAATTAAGAAAATTTTGATTTTTGGACACAGCTAGGAATGAGCTGTGTGTCTAATTCCAAGCTGTGCCGGAATTAGTTTTTATGTGTCTAAAACCAGTGCTTAACTTAATCATCTATTAATTTATTTACACCTGAACAAATTCTTTGAATACCAATAATATTTTCTATTGAAGTTAACTACACAATTCTGCAATAGAAAAAATCAAGATTAATATATATATATAGGTATAGGTATATGTAGTTGGGTGGTTTTCATATGTTATGAAGAAATTTTTCCCAATTTTTAATGTCTCACTCTTAAAATTTGTTTCTTTTTTTATGAAAATACTGCAGAAAAAATATCGCCAATGATTTCAACATTTGCAGTACCGTATAGCTTGATCATCCATGATGGAGGTCAAAATTTGAAATATGGTTAATCAAGTAACTCCAGTACTGCAGTGATGGACTGGAATTAGACTAGTGCTTTGAGCTGAGACCAACTCAAATATTTTTGGTGGTTAAAGTGGTTAAACCTTTAACCACTAGGGTGGCCTAGTGGTTAAAGTTTAGAGTACCAGGTTGGAGCAGAGAGGCGCAGGTTTGATCCCAGCTCTGTGCTCCAGTTTCTGGTCAGAATCGGCAAGGAGGCCAGGCGGTAAAGCAAAGCAAAATTGAAGCAGTGAGTTGCGAGTTCAAGCCCGCAACAAGCTGTGGATGTTCTGCAATGTTAAGAATTGGTGACAGGCCTACGGCCTAATAAACGCTGAAACTGCTATTGTTATTTATTTATTATTATTTCAAAGCTTTAGACTTGGACATAGTTTGTTTGCTAATGGTAAAGCACATTTGATATTGACACATGCAGATTGATGAAGGAGGCATTATGATCCTTAATTAATTAATACCTTACTGTATTCTTTAACTAATGCAACTCTACATTCAGCATGAGCATTCATTACATCTACAGATTTAATTGTATATATCTTTATTAGGTCTATAACATGTTCTCTTCATGTACCATTATATATACCATATACAATTGCTTATAAAAAATTGCCTATTTTATGAACATGATTGAATATAGCTGTAAGCAACTTCATTAAAATCAATAAGCAAATTTTCATGTGTTAACAAACTCTACCAATTTAAGTTTAGACCTGTAATGTACCTTATATTGATACTGCTATCAGTTACAAGCAGCAAGTTTAGTGCTGTATATCCTGAATGGCCTTCAGTGTTGTTTACAGTACTCTAGAAGTCAGGACTAGAGACTTCCTTTACAGTTTTGATGTCACAAGATTTCTTCTAAGGTTATTAAACCCTATAAAATTGCCAACAAAACATTACAGTTTTTAAAATATTTCAAATTCAACCATGTTACTTGACTTTGAAGATGCAATGTTTCATGAAAAATCAAGCTTGGCAATTTGATTTTTGGCTACAGTGATGACTGATGAGGCTTAACATGCTGCAATAAAGAAAAACTTTAAGCTTACTGTATAAACTTGAGAACTTGACAGTTACTGTTCCTCAGATAAATAACCCACATTTTTTGGACACAATCTCTTGATGGCTGTTTTTTTATAGATGTGTATATCCATGTAATTTTAGAACCTCAAAACATAAAAGAAATTAACACAAGTCCTTAGCTTATTCTCTAAAACATGTTATATTCTGTAATGAAAAAAATATAGGTAGTCATTAATATTACAAGTTAAAACCCATGATGGAGTTCAAATATGTCATTGCACAGCAAATCTCTCCATTACTGATTACAGTAATGGAGTATTTTTTTCTTCATACAGTATTTTGTAATGCCCTTACAATGCATGCTCCTCTTTAGGTATTATAAGAGTATATGAATCCATATCAGTGAATGTTATGAATTATTACACCATTTTAGGCACCATGAAGACAAATTTTAGATAATTTGTACACTTCCAACAATCAACATTGCCTTCATTTCTATGACATTTTCCTCACTCCTAACAACATTATCTTCATTACCATTAAATAGCTATCACTCCCCACAACATTATCTTCATTACCATTATATTCCCATCACTCCCCACAACATTATCTTCATTCTCATTATATTGCCATCATTTCTCACAACATTATCTTCATTCTCATTATATTGCCATCACTCCCCACAACATTGCCATCATTCTCATTATATTGCCATCACTCCCCACAACATTGCCATCATTCTCATTATATTCCCATCACTCCCCACAACATTATCTTCATTCTCATTATATTGCCATCACTCCCCACAACATTATCTTCATTCTCATTATATTGCCATCACTCCCCACAACATTGCCTTCATTCTCCATTGCATTAGCAACTGTTTCTAACCATCCTGTGTGGGAAGCGGCTAGGATAGAACCCCTCATAGGAGACCAAGTCTCCTTAGCTAAGAAATCAAGTCCTCTTCTTTAGTTTAATACTTAAATCCCTGTTTTTAATTCCCCTCCTTAAGTCTCAATCTTGAGTCCCCTTCCTAAGTCCAATTCTTAAGTCCCATTCTTAAGTCCCCTTCTTAAGTCCCATTCTTAAGTCCCCTTCTCAAGTCCCCTTCTCAAATCCCCTTCTTAAGTCCCCTTCTTAAGTCCCCTTCTTAAGTCCCTTTCTTAAGTCCCCTTCTTAAGTCCCCTTCTTAAGTCCCCTTCTGTTCCCTTCTTAAGTCCCCCTTCTTAAGTCCCCTTCTTATGTCCCCTTCTTAAGTCCCCTACTTAAGTCCCCTTTTTAAGTCCCCTTCTTAAGTCCCCTTCTTAAGTCCCCTTCTTAAGTCCCCTTCTTAAGTCCCCTTCTTAAGTCCCCTTCTTAAGTCCCCTTCTTAAGTTCCCTTCTTAGAAGTCCCCTTCTTAAGTCCCCTTCTTAAGTCCCCTTTTTAAGTCCCCTTCTTAAGTCCCCTTCTTAAGTCCCCTTCTTAAGTCCCCTTCTTAAGTTCCCTTCTTAGGTCCCCT